TGCTAGGTTGGCAGGAGCAGGGACCAAGCAACGGGAGCTCACCCCGTCGCGGGGATTCAAACTGCCGACCTTCTGATTGGCAAGTCCTAGGCTCTGTGGTTTAACCCACAGCACCACCCGCATCCCTTGTGAATGTTTACTCAGAAGTAAAATAATAATAATAATAATAAAATTGTCCAGTAGCACCTTAGAGACCAACTAAGTTTGTTCTGGGTATAAGCTTTCATGTGCATGCACACTTCTTCAAATACCTTTTTTTTTATTTTATTTCGACTGCATCAGACCAATACGGCAACCTACCTGAATCTACTCAGAAGTAAGTCACTCTGCGCTCAGTTAGGCTTACTCCTTGGTAAGCATGCACAGGATTGCAGCCTGTTTCAAAGAACATGTAGACCATTCTTGTGATGCTCCAGTTTGGAAACCAATAGATTAAACTAACCAAGGTATTTTAAGGTTATTAATGTGAAGGGGAAGTTTTTCCCTGTGATCTTTCACCTCCCTAACTTGTTTGTTATTATTTTTGCATCTCACAAGGCATGTTTTTTGCTTGGGAGTGAGCCTCTCTTAACTCATTTGTATGCATTTATTACTCAGACATGTTTAGGTACATCGTCAATCAGAGGAGCGCTGCCTGGTGCAGAAGCTCCCTTCTCCGACTGACAGTTAGTTAGGGCTTGTGGTATGTGTGGCAGCCCCCTTGCCAAGTCTCCACAGCTGGACAATTTAAACAAAGCTCATTTATGAATCGGCTGAAGGAGTGGGAGGAAATTCCCCAGCACAGTCTGTACACAGCCCACTGGACGGCTTGCAAATCCACAGATGGGAGTTCTAGTTCTCTTTGAAAGCAAATTGACGGAAAAAGAGGAGAGGGAGCAAAACAATAGAGGGCACAGATACGTGCAGAATAGGGAGCCCAGTGATGCATTGTGAAAAAGCAGGATTTGCAGCACCACAGAAGAGGTTGGGTGGAAAAAGGATGGTCAATTTCTGCTCTCTCTTCTGGTGGCTTTCAATCTGGCCTGAACAGCCCTTGAACAGAAGACCCTTGAAGACAGAGGACTGACCTCTATAGAAAAGACATGGCCGCCTTGATACAGAAAAAGCTCGATACAGAAAATTACTACGCTACAGAAATTGAAAATTGGCTCACCCTAAATTGAAGGACTGTGATCAGGTCAAGTGTGTGCCTGCTCATATTGTGTGGTCTTGAACATGCCATATATTTAAAGCACATGACTTTCCCTAAAGAATCATGGCAGCCAAAGTTTGTTAAGTGTGCTTAAGGGAATTGTAGCTCTGTGGGGAGTAAAGTAAAGTACAGCCCCCACCAGGATTATTTGAGGGGAGTAATTTGGCCAGGGGCATGTGGTCAGTGGACTAGAGTAGTCTCCTAAATGTTCCCCTGATGCGTCCTTCCCAAAGCCCATGAAGCTTCTGCCTGGCTTAGGGAGGAAGGCACGATGCTCTGACGGGTCCAAGAGCCCTCCCACCACCTCCCCAAAGCCAGATAGGCTTTGGGAAGGAGCCAAGAGGGCTCCAGCGTTCAGCCACAGCCCTGGCGTCTCCTTCCCAAAGCCTGGAAACCTTCTGCTCAGCTTAGGGAGGGAGGCGCGGTGCTCGTGCATGCGATGTCACCCCCCCCCCCGCCGCCGCCCTGCCTGTTAGGTTGTGGGTGAACATATCAGACGACACAGCGATTCTTCAAACAGCTCTTGTTTATTCACAGGCCAGAACAGAACTGAACTGAAGGGTTCAGCCAGCCTGCTTATATAGAGCTCCACTAGAACGCAACAGTAACCATTTTCTGTAACTATCCAATCATGGAACGTCACTTTCAATCCCTTATTTGCATATGTGGACCTGAACTATCTACAGTATCCTCCTGCTGGCCCAGGATGAGAACTTCAGTACTTCACTGCCCAATCACCCTCGCAAGCTGTCACCTCTGGCCCTAACTGTTCCCCTACGAAAAATTTATCCACACGCCACTGAATGTGGCTTAAAGGTGTTTTCAATGTACGATGTGTTTCTAAGCTTGGTTCCCTAGCACCTAGAATCATAGAATCATAGAATCATAGAACCTACCAATGTTAACCGGTGAAATGGAACAAGGGCAGGAATACATATAATGTTTTTGTAAACTGCTTGATCTTACAATATAAACTTTGATTATTATTTTTTAAAAAAGTTTGTTTGAAGCTTTTAAAAAAACAATATCATGTCAAAGGGTCAGGGATGTTACATATCATGGGTGAACTGGAGTGAGCGAGGCCCAAACTGGGCACTCTTCCCACTCTGCCCAGTTTCCCAGAACTGGAATTGAAAAGCAGGCAAGGTAAAGGACCCCTGGACGGTTAAGTCCAGTCAAACTTGGCTTTGGGATGCGACGCTCATCTCACTTCAGGCTAAAGGAGCCAGCATTTGTCCACAGACAGCTTTCTGGGTCATGTGGCCGGCATGACTAAACTGCTTCTGGTGCAACGGGACACCATGATGGTAGAGCCCACAGAAGCTCTGTTTACCTTCCTGCCACAGCGGTGCCTGTTTATCTACTTGCGCTGGTGTGCTTTAGAACTGCTAGGTTGGCAGGAGCTGGGACAGAGCAACGGGAGCTCACCCCGTCATGCAGACTTGAACTACTGACCTTCCGATCGGCAAGCCCAAGAGGCTCAGTGGTTTGGACCACAGCGCCACCCACTCCGGAATTGAAAAGCTTGGTACATCTGGCAGTGCTGGTAGTGCTTGGCCACGATAGCTAGAAGCCGTACCTTGAAAGCACATGCCACACACTCATCCTGCCAAGAGGCAGTTTGCTGGAGGGAAGAAAGGAGTGGTGACTGGGCACTTTGCTTCCTTGTGTGGTGTAGTGGTTAAGAGCGGTGGACTCGTAATCTGGGGAACCGGGTTTGCGTCTCCGCTCCTCCACATGCAGCTGCTGGGTGACCTTGGGCCAGTCACACTTCTTTGACGTCTCTCAGCCCCACTCACCTCACAGAGTGTCCAGAATCCTGTTCTCATAGTGGCCAACTAGATGCCTATGGGAAACCTGCAAGAAGGATCTGGGCACAAGAGCACCCTCCTTTCCTGAAGTTTCCAGCAACTAGCATTATTGCCTTTGATGACTTGGGTGACAGAGCACTTTTGTTGTTGTTGTTTAGTTGTTTAGTCGTGTCCGACTCTTCGTGACCCCATGGACCAGAGCACGCCAGGCACTCCTGTCTTCCACTGCCTCCCGCAGTTTGGTCAAACTCATGCTGGTAGCTTTGACAACACTGTCCAACCATCTCATCCTCTGTCGTCCCCTTCTCCTTGTGCCTTCCATCTTTCCCAATATCAGGGTCTTTTCCAGGGAGTCTTCTCTTCTCATGAGGAGGCCAAAGTATTGGATGGAGCCTCAGCTTCAGGATCTGAAAGCACATGGATTGCTCTGCTCAAGATTTTTGGGAAGTTCATGATGTGAATTTCTAAAGCAGTCATTTCTGAACTGATGGCATCCACATGCACTTTTATTAAGAGCGCTGTCTTACGATGAAGAAAAGGAAAATGTGAGGCTGTGCTCCCCCCCCCCCCCGCACTCCTTGGGAGTATGAAACCCTTTTAAAAGAAAGAAAGGGAAAAAAGGATTGAAATTGCCCCGGGTGTAGAGGACGATCAATCGTAAGCAAGTAGCAGAGTCAATGGCTTCCAGTTCTGAAAGGCTGCTATTCTGACATGGCGGAAATTATGTCAGATGAAAATCACATTTCTAAGATTAATGACTAAATGGCAGAATACTGTGTGCTGGGGGAGCAATTTATTTCTCATATAAAGAATAATACAGATGTGTAACCGAGAACCAGGCAGAATCACATGGGAGGCATGTGTTGCTGGAGGAGCTATATAACACTTCATAATTTTATTTTTGACGAAGGGCTCGTTCTCCCGTTTGTTTGTTGCCGTTTGTTGGTTATTGTGAGTCACATGACTCGCAAATGAAAATTGGACATGCCAAGGCATGCGTGACCGCTAGCAGAATTTCAGCCGGCCTTTACTGAGATTTGGCTTTTAAAAAAGAATAATAACTGCAGAAGCAAACATCTAGCTTTGCAATTTGAACTTGAACATGCAAGAAAGGCACATAAATGGCATGTCGTTGCATTTTTTCAGTGTACAGTACTACCACACAGACTGGTATGGCATTTAAAAAATAATTATGGTCATATTTAAATATAAGCCATGCAACTTTTAATGGGCAACGCTCCAGATAGAGCCATGCAATTATTACACTTTTTATTAGATGAACTGTTTCATTGGTTAATTGACCAGTTAAAAATAATGTGAACCCTGAATGCAGTTTAATTAAGATAGCAGTTTCTATTTACGAAACAGATCACTTAAATTGTTCTTTGGAAGTTTGCTTAAAACGTACAACCTATGTCAAGAAAAAGCATGCAGTTTACTTGCAGGATGACTTACACACCAAATCTCTTTTCAAATGTGTTTGCCCAGTAGAAAGCCACATTTCCAAACTAAATTTTAAGGGATTAATGAATTGATTATAACAAATGCCACACACTCATCCTGCCAAGAGGCAGTTTGCTGGAGGGAAGAAAGGAGTGGTGACTGGGCACTTTGCTTCCTTGTGTGGTGTAGTGGTTAAGAGCGGTGGACTCGTAATCTGGGGAACCGGGTTCGCGTCTCCGCTCCTCCACATGCAGCTGCTGGGTGACCTTGGGCCAGTCACACTTCTTTGAAGTCTCTCAGCCCCACTCACCTCACAGAGTGTTTGTTGTGGGGGAGGAAGGGAAAGGAGAATGTTAGCTGCTTTGAGACTCCTTAAAGGGAGTGAAAGGCAGGATATCAAATCCAAACTCCTCCTCTTCTTCTTCTTCTTCTTCTTCTTCTTCTTCTTCTTCTTCTCTGGGGCGCAATGAGTCTTCCTTGCTTTCCCTTCTCTCATCTTCTAGGGAAGATCAGCAGACAGTGAACAAAGACAGGAGGATCCCAGCCTACAATCACTTCTACACTTTGCCAAGGAACGGCACCTGGTGAGAATATGTTGTTGTTGTTGTTGTTGTTGTTGTTGTTGTTGTTGTTATAACGTGCCTCTGATGGTGTTGAGGAATATCCTCAACTGGAGGATGCAGAGACAGGAGAGACAGGTAACCACTTCAAGCACTCCTTGGCTTTAAAAAGAAGGGGAAGAGCGATTGCTCAGCAATAGAACATCTGCTTTTCAGGCAGAAAATTGCAAGTTCAATCCCTGGTGCCCCTGCTAGGTCTTGGGAATGAGACCCCTTCCTGAACCCCAGAGACCTGCTGCCAGTCAGTGCAGTCAGTTCTGAATTAGATGGACCAATGTTCAGACTCGTTATAGGAAGATGGCTTAGATATGACCATCCATTATGAGTGTAATGTACGTTTAGTCAACGTGACACCCTGTTGATGGCTGGGGCAGAAGCGAGTTGGAGTTCAACAACATCTGTTGTTGTTTAGTCGTTTAGTCGTGTCCGACTCTTCGTGACCCCATGGACCAGAGCACGCCAGGCACTCCTGTCTTCCACTGCCTCCCGCAGTTTAGTCAAACACATGCTGGTAGCTTCGAGAACACTATCCAACCATCTCGTCCTCTGTCGTCCCCTTCTCCTTGTGCCCTCCATCTTTCCCAGCATCAGGGTCTTTTCCGGGAGTCTTCTCTTCTCATGAGGTGGCCAAAGTATTGGAGCCTCAGCTTCACGATCTGTCCTTCCAGTGAGCACTCAGGGCTGATTTCCTTCAGAATGGAGAGGTTTGATCTTCTTGCAGTCCATGGGACTCTCAAGAGTCTCCTCCAGCATCATAATTCAAAGCATCAATTCTTCGGCGATCAGCCTTCTTTATGGTCCAGCTCTCACTTCCATACATCACTACTGGGAAAACCATAGCTTTAACTATACGGACCTTTGTTGGCAAGGTGATGTCTCTACTTGTCTTTGTTGTCAAGGTGATGTCTCAACAACATCTACTATCCCTGATTTAACATGTTAACCAGTTCTGAATGTCAGTTTAGGCTGAGCAAGTGGCAGTCGCTGCAGGCATTCTTTTCAAGTGCTCCACCAAAAACAAGAAAAAGAAGGTGCAGAATTGCATTGCATTTCCATATGGTAATGGTCCATGGGTAAAAGTTTAGAAACAATTATACGCAGAGAACCAGGCAGAAGGCTTTCTTGGCAGTGGCGTCCGCTCTGTGGAACACCCTCCTATCAGATGTCAAGGAAATAAATATCTGACTTTAGAAGACATCTGAAGGCAACCCTGTATCAGGAAGTTTTCAATGTCTAATGTTTTACCATTTTTAATGAGTTGTAAGCTGGCCAGAGCGGCTAGGGAAACCCAGCCAGATGGGCGGGGTATAAATAATAAAATTATTACTATTAAAATAGAAATAAACTCCAACTCACCATAGTGACAAAGGGCCATTCTTATTGACACTGCTGTGGTATTTTGCTATTTAAACTTTTCTTCTTTAAAAAAACAAACTATAAATGGACACTTAAAAGTTAAATCAGATTGTGATTCACCTCTGAATGCTTCCTACCAGACTCAACCTTCTGTCTTTTTTTACCAGAAGCAAACCTTAGGATTTACAGGCAAACCTAAAGTGAGAAAATAGTATTGGTTTTACAGAAGCAACATTGAATCCTAGGACTCTTCCCATGATGGAGTGAGCTTCCGTTGCTCTGTCCCAGCTTCTGCCAACCTAGCAGAAAGCACGCCAGTGCAAGTAGATAAATAGGTACTGCTGTGGTGGGAAGTTAACAGCATTTCCATGCACTGAGAGTTCTATCACAATGTTCTGTTGTGCCAGAAGCGGTTTAGTCATGCTGGCCACATGGCCCAGAAGGCTGTCTGTGGACAAACACCGGCTCCCTCAGCCTGAAGAGTGAGATGAGCATCACACCCCATAGTTGCCTTTGACTGGACTTAACTGTCCAGGAATCCTTTACCTTTAGCTTACCTAGTGGCCCGGGTGGTCCAGAATCCTGTTCTCATAGTGGCCAACTAGATGCCTATGGGAAACCTGCAAGAAGGATCTGGGCACAAGAACACCCTCCTTTCCTGAAGTTTCCAGCAACTAGCATTATTGCCTTTGATGACTTGGGTGACAGAGCACTTTTGTTGTTGTTGTTTAGTTGTTTAGTGGTGTCCGACTCTTCGTGACCCCATGGACCAGAGCATGCCAGGCACTCCTGTCTTCCACTGCCTCCCGCAGTTTGGTCAAACTCATGCTGGTAGCTTTGACAGCACTGTCCAACCATCTCATCCTCTGTTGTCCCCTTCTCCTTGTGCCCTCCATCTTTCCCAATATCAGGGTCTTTTCCAGGGAGTCTTCTCTTCTCATGAGGAGGCCAAAGTATTGGATGGAGCCTCAGCTTCAGGATCTGTCCTTCCATTGAGCACTCAGGGCTGATTTCCTTCAGAATGGATAGGTTTGATCTTCTTGCGGTCCATGGGACTCTCAAGAGTCTCCTCCAGCACCATAATTCAAAAGCATCAATTCTTCAGCGATCAGCCTTCTTTATGGTCCAGCTTTCACTTCCATACATCACTACTGGGAAAACCATAGCTTTTACTATACGGACCTTTGTTGGCAAGGTGATGTCTCTGCTTTTTAAGATGCTGTCTAGGTTTGTCATTGCTTTTCTTCCAAGAAGCAGGCCTCTTTTAATTTCTTGGCTGCTGTCACCATCTGCAGTGATCATGGAGCCCAAGAAAGTAAAATCTCTCACTGCCTCCATTTACTCCCCTTCTATTTGCCAGGAGGTGAAGGGCCCACTGGCCATAATCTACTTTTTTTTGATGTTGAGTTTCAGACCATATTTTGCGCTCTCCTCTTTCACCCTCATTAAAAGGTTCTTTAATTCCTCCTCACTTTCTGCCATCAGGGCTGTGTCATCTGCATATCTGAGGTTGTTGATATTTCTTCTGGCAATCTTAATTCCGGCTAGGGATTCATCGAGCTCCGCCTTTCGCATGATGAATTCTGCATATAAGTTAAATAAGCAGGGAGACAATATACAGCCTTGTCGTACTCCTTTCCCACTTTAATCCACTTTAAATGTAGAAACCTAGTTCTGGTATGCAGCTGATTCACTGCTGCAAAATACTGGAGATCTGGAGGCAGCCCTCCAATATGCAGCACTTGAGGAAAAATAAAGCCTTTTGATTGTAACTGTTAGGGTTTGCTTTTTCTTTATTCTTTCCAATTTGGGCCATTCCTGGACTGAGCATTGCTCCCATATGAATAATAAACCAGTTCCTGGAGCATTTCTGGGCAACAAAGGGCTGTTACTTTTGCGGCTGCTTCTCCTTCTCACATTTCCATTGTTCCAGATTTTCAAAGGAGTCAGCCAGGTGGAAGTGGAAAAATAAAAGTATATGGGATTTGCAAAGATTATATGCATTTCTGTGTGGTTGAACGAACACTGTTATGGTCTGTTTAAGCTAAAGCATGAATGCAGAATTCATGACCACTGTAAGAACAGGATGCTGTGTTAAGTATAATTGTTTAATTCACACTGAAATGCCTAAATGTGCATTACTGAAGGCTTTAACATGGGGAAATTTCACTGAAGTATTCTAAGTGGTCTCTGAACCCCTTGATGGGTTGATAATTAACTATTGTTGTTTTCTGCTAGCTAACACGGGAGTGTTTAACTTTAGATCAGGGTACAAAGGTATTTGGTTGCAAATCTCCATTTTGAAGGGAGTTGCCTTTGTTCTCAGGCTCTGTGCGAGTAAAGATGTGTAAATGGCTCTCCAGGAAAACAGCTCCAGGCAAAATGGAGGCTGTAAGGAGAGCGAGACCTTTGATTATAGGTCTATTTAGAATTATCTTTTATATCTCAGAAGATGAACCTGTGGACTTGCATCAAATATTGTATGGAATTATCTGGATGTATCTTTGATGTTTTTGTTCTGTTTTGAAGAAAGTTCTGTAAGTAAAGTTTTTTGATAATATCTAATGGGTCTGGACAACGCTCTATTTCATAAGGAGTCAGTTTCTATGCACCCAGTAGCTTCAAACTGCGTAATGTTAATAGCAATATGCTGGGCTGTTGTTGTTGTTTAGTTGTTTAGCTGTGTCCGACTCTTCTTGACCCCATGGACCAGAGCATGCCAGGCACTCCTGTCTTCCACTGCCTCCCACAGTTTGGTCAAACTCATGCTGGTAGCTTCGAGAACACTATCCAACCATCTCATCCTCTGTCGTCCCCTTCTCCTTGTGCCCTCCATCTTTCCCAACATCAGGGTCTTTTCCAGGGAGTCTTCTCTTCTCATGAGGTGGCCAAAGTATTGGAGCCTCAGCTTCAGGATCTGTCCTTCCAGTGAGCACTCAGGGCTGATTTCCTTCAGAATGGATGCGTTTGATTTTCTTGCAGCCCATGGGACTCTCAAGAGTCTCCTCCAGCACCATAATTCAAAAGCATCAATTCTTTGGCGATCAGCCTTCTTTATGGTCCAGCTCTCACTTCCATACATCACTACTGGGAAAACCATAGCTTTAACTATACGGACCTTTGTTGGCAAGGTGATGTCTCTGCTTTTTAAGATGCTGTCTAGGTTTGTCATTGCATGCTGGACTACATGTTCCATTGGCCTGATCCACCAGGTTCTTCTTATGTTCTTGGGGGTTTCTGATGCCTGCTTAGCTGAAATGCTACCCATCATCACATCATCTTAAGGTGGGTTACAATAAAACGCTGATGTTAACATAAGATAACTATAATGTACTATACAAATGAATTGCAAAATCAGCTATAAAAAAATATGTAATAAAGAGAATTGTAAGCAGCAGCAGAACTAGGACTAACATCATAAAAGTCCTCGCAAACAGGTAGCTCTTTACCTGGAGCCGAAATGTGAACAATGTTGGAATCCATAGCAATTCCTCTGCATTGCAAATTGAAATTTTTGCTTATAGAGCTGCATGTATTATCTTATATTTTCCATGGCAATAAGGAAGTGAGAAAATAACTACTGTTTATGGAATTTACATAGCATGCCCTCGCTGAATTTACATAGAATGCCCTCGCTGAATCCTCCTGTTCCTGGCCATACCAAAAAGACTTCTTTGTTTGTTAGGTGAAGATGTCATCGCAATATAAAATACCCATTGGTCCACCAAGATGTCATATTCAGAATATTGTTTTAAATGTGTTCTGCCCAGCCCTTCGTATCTCCTTTCATAATTTGCGGTCTGAACATTCATTTGGAACATGGAATGACCAGAATATCACATTATCTCTTTTGTTTCTTGCCTGCACCTTTGGCAGTGGGATTACATCACTCTGTTTTACTGGGAAATGCCTAATTGAATAGACAGATTATTAGATTAAAAATGTGTTGGGGTAGAAGACCATCTTTCAGTTACTTATTTGCACAGAGCTAGTGTTTTGTGACTCTAAGACCAATAGAAACTTTAATGAATTAGATTAATCATGTTTAGATTCAATTAAGATAGGACTACAAGATACACATATTTCATTTGTGTGTATATTAGTGCAAACATGGGGGATTGCTTATCTCTTCCCACCCCCAATCTGATCCCTGTCAATCAAGTTGCATATGAAAATTGTTCAAAATGGTGTTCTTGGTGTCTGTTTCTATTGGGTGGGGACCCTCAGGAGTGGGGGTCCTTCGACAGTGCACCTGTGAACTTGTCCTGAGGATTCCCACTCCATAGCTGTCAAGCGTCCCTTATTTGGCGGGACAGTCCCTTATCCCAGCGCCATGTCCCGCTGCTGTCCCTTATTGATGATGTCCCTTAAATTTCCTGGGTTTCAAAGGAAGCAGCTCCTCTCCCTCCCTCCCTGCCGGCCAGGGAAGAGGGAGGCTCCAACTGTGTTGCTTGGCTGCGTTGCTCACCCAATAAGGAGTCTAAGAACGACTGGGGGGTGGAGCTTGCATGCCTTGTGCCAATCAAATCGGCCACGTTGCCTGGGGACTCGCCTTTGCTCCCAGCGGAGAGGTGACAGTGGTTTTCTTTTCTGCATCCCCTTTGCTGGGTTGCTGCGCTATGGGAACTACCACTTGAGGCTTCATTTGGCTGCTGCTTGACTAAAATCCCTTATTTGGGCTGCTGATCCCTTATTTTCGAGACTGCTGGTCCCTTATTTTCAAATCTGTAAGTTGACAGCTATGCTCCACTCCTGTTTGTGCTCCATCACTGCTGTAGTCATATATTGAAGTCTGTGGTTAAAACAGCAGTTTTTATCATAATATGTAATTCTTTTGCCTGTTTTGACATGTTTTAATACGCTTCTTATATACGTTCTCATTTCATTTTTAACTGTATTGTTTTATCACTGATGTGTTTTCCACCCTAGGCTCATCTGAGAGGAAGGGTTGGATGTAAATTTAATAAATAAATGGTTATATGCAGTATTTATATTTGAGGTTGTTTTTAAAAGCAGCTTGAGCTGTACTGCAGATGTAAGGACCCAGCTACTTGATGTTTCAAAGATGGTTGAGCATTTCTTCATATCATTTCTCCTGGCTGGTATTTCATGTTAGAAAACTGAAATTATAGCAATAAAAACAAAACCCATCATTAAATAAACAAATATAAATAACTCAGCAAAGTGTGAGGGGTAGTGGAAAGGGGGAAGGTGGCATTTTTTTCTAACCCTACCAAGCTGGAAAGACGCATGTTGCCCTCTGAATTTCCACAGGAGGGAGAAGTCATTAGCGAACCCATGAAAGACAGCAAGCAGATGATTGTGAAAAAAAAGATATTTGTGCCATTACTTCAGTGCCGCTGTATTTAAAGTTTCGAGTTCCCAGTGTTTACACAGCGTGTTTGGCTGGCGCTGTGGAACGGTTGTTGGCGAAAAGCAGACAGAGCCAGAAGCTGGTCCAGACGCTTCGAAAACCAAGCAAAAGTGTGGGTGGCTGAGGTGGAAACAGAGGTGAAATTAAGGATGCAGTTACTTAGTTTTAATTCATTTTAGGGAAATTCTCTGAAGGTAATCATTCTCCCATATGAACATGCCTGTCAGCTGAGGTCATCGTCAGGATCTCTTCTCTGTCCTCCAGAAGTTAGGCAGGAGTCTACAAGAAGCGGGGACTTTTTTGTGCTGGCACCCAAGCGATGCTAAACCCTACCCAGACATGTGTCCCTGAGGGAGTTGGGAGAGAAACTCAATTCGGTTTGGATTTTCATCTCCGCCAAGCTAAGCAGTTGGCCCCTTATCTCTCTCGCCCTGACCTAGCCACTGTGATCCACGCGACGGTCACCTCCAGACTGGATTATTGTAACTCGCTCTACGTGGGGCTGCCCTTGAGACTGACCCAGAAACTCCAGCGGGTGCAGAATGCCGCGGCGAGACTCCTTATGGGGTCTTCGCTGCGAGATCACATTCATCCGGTACTATACCAGCTGCACTGGCTCCCGGTGGAGTACAGGATCAGGTTTAAGGTGCTGGTTTTAACCTTTAAAGCCCTATACGGCCTAGGACCCTCGTACCTACGGGACCGCCTCTCCTGGTATGCCCCACAGAGGAACCTACGGTCTGCAAATAAAAACATCCTGAAGGTCCCAGGCCTCAGAGAGGTTAGGCTGGCCTCAACTAGAGCCAGGGCTTTCTCGGCTGCGGCTCCAATCTGGTGGAACGCTCTGTCACAAGAGACTAGGGCCCTGCGGGACCTGACATCTTTCCGCAAGGCCTGCAAGACAGAGTTGTTCCACCAGGCCTTTGGTCAGGGCCCAGCCTGACTCCCACCTCCGGCAACCTGCACAGAACTTTGCTCAACAGTTGCCATTAATTTGATTTTAATTAATTTTTATAATGAAATGTTTTAGAATGTTGGATTATTTAATTGTTTGATTATTTATTTGTTGTTAGCCGCCCTGAGCCTGGCTTTGGCTGGGGAGGGCGGGATATAAATAAAATTTATTATTATTATTATTATTAATGCAAACCCACCTAACGCGCACCTTCCAAAACAATACACAAACCAAAATGCAATTGTATCTTGAAACTCGCACTTCTCCCTGAATTTTGTGATGCAGTTTCCCAAACAAAAGTTGTGTGTATCTGGGGGACATGCATTCGGAAAGGCATACGTGAGTCGGATGAACATACGAAAAAGGGGAACCATTTGCAAAAATGTGTACATCTGGCAAATCCACATACAGAAATGAACAGATTCATGCCAAAACCCTGGTATATCTTGTGGGAACATTAAAAAAAAAAAAAAATCACCAACCGAAGCAGAAATGTGGAGAACTGAATTTAAGATTGGAAAAATGAGAAACTGGGAGAAAGCAAAATTAGCAGGTTTGTTCACCTCTAGTGCCCAGCATCTTCTCTGCTATCTCACAGGCAAAGTATGCTCTGTGCTTTTCTGTCTTCAGGGGTTTTAAATATTGAAAATCCTTTTGATTACGAGCACAAAAAACAATCAGAGCAATAGCTGAAACCCATGTGAAATACTCAGAGTCGAGAGTGGATTTCATGCTCTTTATTCAGCTCATAGTGGTGAGGAGGAATGAAAGTTTCCCCAAAGTATCTGCTTTATATACATTATTTACACAATGGGCTCCACGTGATTGGCTAATTCCAGAATTCTCCTGTAGGCCAATCAGGTTGTGGATTCACTTCCATCTGGAGCTGGATTGGGTGGCTCCTGCAGACCAATTATACTGCTGCATTGTTCTAGGACTAATCAGACTGCTGACTTCTGAATCCTATTGTTCTAGGACCGATCAGATTGCTGCATTTTGGATCCTATTGTTCTAGGACCAATCAGACTGCTGCATTTTGGATCCTATTCAACTCAGTACATAACACCACGGCTGCTCACTGGACTGGTTGCATGTAAGAAGACAGGCAGGTGTGGGCAGCCTGGGGCTGAAAGGGCTGTGGTCCATTTCCCCTGATCACTGAATCATAAAACTGTAGAGTTGGAAGGGACACCAAGGGTCATCTAGTCCAGCCCCCAGCAATGCAGGAATCCTGCCTGCAGTTGTCCCTGGGTAGGCTCGAACCACTAACCTTCTGGTTAACAGCCAGATGCACTGACCTATTGTGCCATTGGGGATGGGCCAGCCTTCACCGCTCCAATCATGATGATATACGATATCTTTATTGTTATTGTCCCATACAGAACAATGAAATTGGAAATCTACATAAAACATTCAAAACCCCCTAAAAACTCTGAAACCCCTTTTTAAAATACAATATACTATAGAGACTCCTTATGCTGCGTCTAGAACCAGAATTGCATTTGTGTAGAAACTCTTTCTCAGGCAGCTAGTCCTGGTCTTTATAACCCTATACCTTCTTCCAGGGGCAGAAGCTGAAAGAGATCATTTCCAGGGTGTGTACTATCCTGCGCTATCTCTGCAGCTTTCTTATGGCACCTGACACCATAGACAGCATAGACAAAGTTCAAGGATTCCATACAAGAATCCCATCAGCGTTGCGATTACCAATGAAGTTGACAAGCCATGTTTCCACTGAGTTATTAACAAATGGACTGATTCATCTTGCAAATCAGTGCATGCCATTAACCCTGGTGGAGCAAGCTTTGGTCTTTCGCAGTGTCGGAATATAGCATTCAATGGGCAGAGGGGAGTTCAGAAATGTTCCTGAACGGCATGTGCATTTCTGGAACTGGCAAGAGAAACAGATCCTCATTCCAGCTGTTTAGACAGAGCATCCCTGTGAGATGCACTCAGCACTATGGAAAGACCAGACACATTTTCTCTCTGTTTTTTCTGTTCTGCGTTTGTGCCATACAAGGTCATTTGTGTCTCTGTTTGGTGGACTGGAGTATATTTATGCATCTTTGTCTATTCTTTTTTATTTTGGGGGGGGAAAGAAATAATTTTAAAAATATACAAACCAATGCATTGGGTCTAAAACAGCTGTCAACAACCTGGTGCCCTCTAAATGTTGTGAAATATAACCCCCACGAGCCCCTGCTAGCTGAGGTTGGTGGGAGTCCAAAACAGGGGGAGGGCAGCAAGTTGACCAGGGCTGCTCAAAAGCATAATTTGGGGGCCCATTTTAACTACTTTTCCTTACAGAAAAGTTCTATTATTATTGTCACACCATCAGTTTGTTTTTCGCTGTATTAGACGCACCGGACGATTGGACGCACCTAGTTTTTAGGGGAGGAAAACAAGAAATAAGAAAGGAATGCAAAGCATTCTGAGCTAAGAGGGAGCGCACCTCCATCTTCGCTCACTAGGCTTTGCGGGGCTATCCCTGAAGCCAGGAGAGCAAGCGGGATCTGTGCGCACCGATCCCTCTTGCTCTCCTGGCTTCAGCAAAAGCAAGCCTACTGGCTTTCCTCCTGCAAGAGCCGTGCGCTCTTTAAAGGGAGTGCGGCTCTTGGGGGCTTTTCTGGGAGGTGGGGGAAGGAAGAGAGCCGCGCGTTCTGTCCCTTCCCCCACCTCCCGCAGAAGCCAGGGATAGCTGCACGAAGCCTCCGCAGGGGAGCGGGATGAAGACTCCCCGCTCCCCTGCAGAGGCTTCGCGTGGCTAAGCCAGAAGCTAGAACAGCCAGCAGGATCACAGTGCAGCGATCCCGCTGGCTGTCCTGGCTTCTTCTTTAGCCATGCGCAACCTCTCCCAGGCAAGGGGAGCCTTCATCCTCTGTCCGGGAGAGACTGCGTGTGGCTAAGACTCCCCCAAGAGCCGCGCTCCCTTTAAAGAGTGCGCAGAGTGTGTGTGCGGCTCTTGGGGGCTTTTCCCCGAGGAAGGAGAAGGGCAGCCCTTCTCCCTCCTTGGGAAAAGCCCCCAAGAGCCGCACACACGCTCCACACGGCTCTTTAAAGGGAGCACCGACAGAGCCTCCCGCCTGCATTCGCTCCATAAGACGCACACACATTTCCCCTTACTTTTTATGAGGGGAAAAGTGCGTCTTATAGAGCGAAAAATACGGTACTTACTGTTTTTATTGCACCACTAGTGCGTATGGTGCTTAACACAAGAGGATCTATGTTCCTCTTACACTCTATAATTCCAAAAATGAAGAAGGGGTGGGAGTGGAGGAAAGGAATACGAGGGAGGGAAAATGCCACAGTTTTTAAGAAAAGCCCATCAGCCAGTTTGTAGCCCAGTCCCAACAACTATTTCCTTAAATTCATCAAAATCACTTCTTCCGCAAACTTCCCCTCACCTGCAGAAATTTGCTGTGTCTTTAGGGTGTATGGCACACACCACTCCCCCTTTTTCTATAGTTAATGCTTAGCAGATTTCAACAAGTCTGCCTGGCTCTGTGTGTTAAAAAAAAAAGTACAGTTTTAAGTAGTGACAAATAGAAAGCACATGCTTATTATACAACTACATTACACAACTGCTGAGCAGCTTTTATGTCATCTGCACTTAAAACAACAGACTTGTGGAGGCTTGTGCTGTTGTGTGTGTCAGTATTAGAAAGCTGAGTAGGACTGAGTAGGAATCCTAGTTGTTTGGAGTTTTGCTGCACCTATTGCATTTTTATCCCACCCTTCCTCCTCAAGGAGCTCTGGGCTGCATGTGTGTGTGTGTGTGTGTGTGTGTGTGAGAGAGAGAGAGAGAGAGAGAGATGGGGGGGGGGGAGAACCCACAATTTACACAGGAATTATGTTCCAGGGATCAGGCCTAAAGCCAAAATTGCCTATAGCCAAAACACAATGGGTTCAATAGCGGGTGGGATTGTCAAAATCATTTCGCCCCTTTCCATCCCTTTTCAATTCTGTTTAAATTTTTTGCCGTGCACGTAGAGCAGAACACACACAAGTTAAATGCTCATAAATTGCGGGATTACTGTTCAATTTCAAAACAAAAACAAAGAAAAGCAGCTTTTAATACTTCCAAAAGCATAACAAAACAATTGCCATGGAAAACTTCTAAAAGAAGTTACAGGCACAGTGGTACCTCGGGTTAAGAACTTAATTTGTTCTGGAGGTCCGTTCTTAACCTGAAACTGTTCTTAACCTGAGGTACCACTTCAGCTAATAGGGCCTCCAGCTGCTGCCATGCCACAGCCATGCGATTTCTGTTCTCATCCTGAAGCAAAGTTCTTAACCCGAGGTACTATTTCTGGGTTAGCGGAGTCTGTAACCTGAAGCGTCTGTAACCTGAAGCATCTGTAACCCGAGGTACTACTGTAAAAACATTCCAAGGGCAATTGCCATTACAAAAATGTTTCTATCCAATGATCTTGAGGTTGCCGGGACAACATTCCTACCCAGCCTTTCAATCTGAGATCCTTCAAGGTGGCACATGTCAAAAGAATTTGGGCAATACTGGACCACCAAGCCCCATCAGTGCGGAGCCGGTGCACCCATGAGGCAAGCTGAGGCAATCACCTCAGGTGACAGAATCCACAGGGGCAGCAGATTTGACCTCCAAGAAATGCATTACCTATTATGGCCGCCACCAAATCTGTCATCTCCGCCGCAGGGCTTCCACAATGCTGCCTCTAAAGTAGTCTCTTAGCAAATAGAAGGCACTCTTGGTTTCCCCGCACCCCTGTTTCTGATGTAGATCTTTATTCATCTGTTCTTCCCCGGTGAGGAGGGGGACACTACCATTTTGTGATTTGATGCCCATGACATTTTGGCACCTGAAGCAATTTTGTTCCAGAAGTTTCTCCTTATACAAGCTTCCACAAATAGTTAGCTCCAGATCTTTCCTGTGTGAATTAACAAGGCAGGATTTATCTATTAACACACCCATAACATCAGTCATGTTACCCAGTGACCATCTTCAGAGAGGGTGTCTGTCACATCTTCTGGATATCTTGGACTACAATTCCCATCTGCCCCAGCCAGCATGCTCAATGGTCAGAGACCATGGGAGTTGTAGTCCACAGCAGCTGGAAGGCACCAGTTCAGGGAAAGCTGCGACAGCTTGTTGCGATATCCAAACGCAGCCAATAGTTTCAAAGAGACATGGTGTGTGCACATGATTTTCTCTTGTCCTGCTCTTGCCACTGGTCAAACAAGTTTTTTGAAAACGTGTAAGATCATGCTAAAGCAATTCACCACCACAAAAATGGGATGAATATGCAGAACACATGTCATGGTTCTTCTTTCAAACTGCTTTCAACACCCTGGAAAAAAAGCGCCCCCTTCCAGCCAAAGCCTGTGTCCTATTCAATTCTGGTTTTAATGTAAGAACATATTAACTGCTTTTTGGGATCAGAGAAAAGATCTATCTAGTCCAGCATTCTTCTTCCAACAGCAGCCAACCAGCAAGTTTCCTCTCCACAGAGTTCGGATTCTTCCTCACAGTATTGGCAGTAACATTTAACCATAGAGGCACAGGACAATATTTTCTTATTCCTCACCCGCACTTCAAACACTCCCCACCCTGCCAGGAACAATGATAACAGCTGATGCTTAGCTTCATAATATCTGTCACTGGCAAAATGCAGTGCAGAGCCAGTTAATATCATATCACTGCTTTGATGCACAAAAGAAAGAGGCTTTTAAGTGCTTTTACGTGTTCAAAGCATTATGCTGGGTGTGGGCGGGTGAGTAAAATAACACGGAGCATTATCACAACTTTCTTCCCCTCAGATTTGCTTACTGAAGTAATCTGTACATTTTAAGTTTCCCACAGTGATATACTTTTCCAGTTTTTAAAACAACACAAACATTTTCCTTGGCTAGCTGCCTGGTGCAAAGAATAAAAGTTGTCAGTGCAGCTAAATGACTTTAAAATACAAGGTATTTTCTCTGAGGAGAAGCAGAGAATGTAAAAGTGATCTGTGCAGGCGTGATCCTATTCACAGGAGGCCAGGAAAAACAAACCGGGGCAGCTGACTATCTCTTTGACAGCTAAGTGATTTCTTTCCTCAGCTGTCCACCATCTCAATAAGATGCTCACGTGCTTCACCAATATTTGTTTATCTCCTCTTGGGCACGGGCTGCAATGGCACGGCATTTAAGGTGTGTCCAGAGATATTTCTAGGGAAGGGTTGTGTCTGGACGTGCAACTCGTGATGGGGCAGATGTATTTTGCCATGCGCGTTGGCAGTCAAGTCATATGCATGCTTAAGGTAAAGGTAAAGGGACTCCTGACCATTAGGTCCAGTCGTGACCAACTCTGGGGTTGCGGTGCTCATCTCGCTTTATTGGCCAAGGGAGCTGGCGTACAGCTTCCGGGTCATGTGGCCAGCATGACTAAGCTGCTTCTGGCGAACCAGAGCAGCGCACAGAAACGCCGTTTACCTTTCCACTGGAGCGGTACCTATTTATCTATTTGCACTTTGATGTGCTTTCGAACTGCTAGGTTGGCAGGAGCAGGGACCGAGCAATGGGAGCTCACCCCATCGCGGGGATTCGAACTGCCAGCCTTCTGATCGGCAAGCCCTAGGCTCTGTGGTTTAACCCACAGAGCCACCTACGTCCCATATGCATGCTTACTCAGGAGTAATTACCAACAAGTGCAATGGGGTTTACTCCCAAGCAACTGCATGTAGCATCGTTGTCACACACTGCAATTTCATGCATGTTTGCTCAGAAGTAAGTCTGGGAGGATTTTGTTGTACTCAGGTTCTTGTGGCAGGCTTCCCATAGGCATCTGACGCATAGAATCGTAGAATTGGAAGGGACCACGAGGGTCATCTACTCCAACCCCTGCAATGCAGGAAACTTTTGCCCAGTGTGGAGCTTGAACTCACGACCATGAGATTAAGAGTCTCATGCTCTACCAATTGGCCACTATGAGAACGGGATACTGGACTAATGGACCTTTGACATTACTCAGTAAGGCTCTTCTTGTGTCCTTCTGCTATTGTTGATGGTGATGATTTGCACTGCAGGATGTCTCTGTTAGGATATAGTTCTATGCCACCTTAACAGGGTCAGGCATGACTGTTGTGTATCACATGCCTGTTTTCTCACTGGGAACTTCCGTTGTATGTTGCTTTTGTATTAAGGCTGTTTTGCTGGACATGAAGGCAAGCAGTCATGTTTTTCTTTGTTCCTGAACACACTGAATAAATGCTGTAAAAATGCTTGTACAACTCTGTCTGCCTCTTCTCTTGTGGATTATTTATACACTCTGCTGACAGAGTGTGCATGGGTCTCGGAACGTACCTGAGGCTCGTGTCACTAATTGACTGTTCCACGGGAGACCGGTGATCATCCGGAGCCAGCTGGGGGCCTGCCTGATGCCCCCGTCTCCCTGGCAGTATCCTAACAGTCTCAGGTTCAGTCCCCATTATCTCCAGGTACAACAGGGAGAGATCCCTACTTGAAGCCCTGGACAGTCACTGCCAGTCAGTGTAGACAAGACTGTTACAGAACCCGGGTGCCTCCCCCCCCCCTCTGTCGAGCGGCGGCCAGAGCCCATGGGGTTCCAGGCACTCACCCAGGGTCTGTGGTCCTTTGGAGAACTGAGACGCGGCAGAGACTGTCGTAGCTTTTAGAAACATGGTTTATTTCTTAAGAAATATGGTTTATAGGTGTACTTACACCTTCGGTCTGCATGGAGGGAGTCCAGATCTTACAGCACGGTCATTTCAAGAGGGGCTTGTCCCCCACAGCAGGGCAGCCCTGGGGTCCAAGGCATTTCTCCCAGGCAGCTTGCGGCCAGCCTGCCCAAGATGGATCCCAGTCTGTCTTCTGCCTTCCCAGAGCCCCTTGCTCAAAAACACACACCCCATCACCTTGGCAATGCCTGTCTTGCCAGGCCAAAGGATTCCCCTCAGATGGTCCAGCAACACCTTTTGTCATGTTAATACCTCTATCTATCCTAGGTGAGGAAAAGGAAACTTAGCCTGTTCTTTTCCACTGGCCTGCAATCTTCCCTTCAATACTCCAAATAATCAAAATCCTATCATTTATTAATTTACAGTCATACCTCATGTTACGTTTGCTTCATGTTACGTTCTTTCAGGTTACGTCCCGCAGCGACCCGGAAGTACCGGAAAGGGTTACTTCCGGATTTTGCCACTTGCACTTGCGCATGCGCAGAAGTGCTAAATCGTGCTTCGTGCATGCGCACAAGCGCCAAATCGCACCGCGCACTTGCGCAGATACGGCGCTTGAGGTTGCACTCTTTTCATGTTGCGAACGGGCCTCCGGAACGGATCACGTTCGCAAACATAGGTACCACTGTATAGGGTTTAGGGCTAGATATACTCATGGCCTGACAGTATAAGGTAAGCTTCCTGGGTCCCTATGCCACCTGCTCCTCTATTCTTTCTTACTGTATTTGGGTAAGAATTGCATGCAGATGAAGGGGATGGAAAGTTTGAAGGACCCTGGGTGAGAGACAGGGAAGGGGAGACCTCCCGATGTGAGAGGCTGGGTTGCCACATCTTTTTCTGTATGGGACAAAAGTTAAGATACACTTGTGAGAGAGGATCTTGCATTCTTCTTTCTCTTTTTCTCTTCTCTTTGTTTCTCTCTTTTTGTTATTCTCTGTGCAGATCTGCTTGTATTTTTTTCCTGCAGGGATCTCATGAGGGAAGTGTGAAGATCTTCAGAAGTTGGCTTCCTGTTCAAAGCCGGGTTCCATGCGCATGGAATAAGGCTGCAGCTGGATCTGTTCCTTTAATGGCCAGGAGCCTATCAGTTTGAGAAAGGATGTTTAAGCTCATTTGCCCTCTCCTCTTCATTATTAGCACAGGCTGTGGAAAGGAGGGGGGGACGGCGGCAGGGAGAAGCCATAAAGTTCCGAGCTCTGTCGTGCTGAATTCCTTGGCAGCTTCCAAAAGGCGCCTGGGAACTGAGGCGAAAGCTTCCAATATCAGACAATGACTGATGTACAGCATGTGTGTCACTCACGGTGTTTGAAAGTGAATGGCTATAAAAATGGGTTTACTAGACAGTAAATAACTTCTCAAATAGGCGACGCAGGCCTTTTCTGTTTCTTCCTTCTCCCTCCCCCTCCCCTTTAAAAAGAAAACATTATTCTTTTTTGCACACCAATGGAAAACAGAACACATCAGGGACCGGAGTTTGTATTGGGTGAACACAGCGTTCCTACGACTGCCAGCTTCAGCTTTGAAAGGGGTTTCTGTGCCTTTAAAGAAAGCTAGAGCTGCAACCCTGAGCCATAGCTGTCAACTTACAGATCTGAAAATAAGGGACCAGCAGCCTTGAAAATAAGGGACCAGCAGCCAAAATAAGGGACCTGCAGCCTGACCTGTTCCAGGCACTCCAGTCTTCCTGTCCTCCTGCAGTCTGGTCAAACTCATGCTGGGTAGCTTCGAGAACACTGTCCAACCAACTTTGTAACCAGAGGTTCAACTGAATAGAATCTGAATCACATGCACCACAAGGCCTATGCAGCCTCAACTTAAGATGGCTCCCCGGCCTGGCTTTGCACTGCAAAGTTTGCAGCAGCACGTGCAACAAAATGGCGTCCAGCATTCAAAAAACCCCTCAGCTTGCCTTAACAAGCCACACACAAGGCATGCAAGCTCCACCCCCCTCGTCGTTCTTAGACTTCTTATTGGGTGAGCAACACAGCCAAGCAACACAGTTGGAGCCTCCCTCCTCCCTGGCCGGCAGGGAGGGAGGGAGAGGCGCTGCTTCCTTTGAAATATAAGGGACATTTAAGGGACATCCATCAGTAAGGGACAGCAGCGGGACATGGCGCTGGAATAAGGGACTGTCCCTTCAAATAAGGGACATTTGACAGCTATGCCCTGAGCACACACCGTGGCAAATAAACCCACGTACCTAAGCACGACTTGGGTTTAAAGAACATTTCTGGGAAGGCCGAGAGCTACGCGAGTGTGTGAGAGTCGCCTCTGAAGTTTATCACATTAAATTGTTAAAAGAACTTCCTAAACACAATTTTATTTTCTCTTTATTATAATGTTAGCTACTTCAAGAGATCGGCTTAGGGCTAGCAGGGTTAGTAAGAGGGATAGTAATGCAATAATAAAGAAACTATAGAAGCACAATCCGTTCTAGTTTTCTTTACTGCACACCCTGGGGAATATTCATATTGCAATAGACTGCAACAAAATGCACTTAAAGTGAGATAGAGCCTGCCTGCTCCTTTTCCCCACCCTCGGAGTCTTTGTGCGTGTGTGTTTGATATAGCACATCATTATTTCTTTTCTGGTTTGCAAGATATTTAATTTCTTCCATTTTACTTCCAGCATTTACAGGTCCCTCACTAACAAAAAAGCGGTCAGGTCTGTTTTCGAACACAAAATAAAACAAGTCAAAAATTCAACAGCAATAAAAACCAGCAAAATTTGACGTAGCTAGAATTCAGAAAGCAGACAAGAAAAAATATTGGAGTAAAACAGGTTAAATGGCATAGAAAACAGATTTGTAAAGGTGCTGGAAAATAAAATTAAAAAGTTTCCCTGCTAAATGAAGTTGTTATAGGAATTATAAGGTCTCAAATGTAGAATGAATGTTGATAATTGCACAAGGTAAACACACATACCTAAGTATATAAACCACATGTCTAAAATATTACAGGAAAGCAACCCAAAAGCCATCTTGGCTCTCCTAGAGACTCTCAATATTTCCTCTGCCTCCTTAATCCCCCTTGCATGAGAACACGTAGGCAGATAGCAATCAGGGAAAGATCCTGAAGGGATTCCCCTCCTATATCTATGAATCTCCTTTGTATTAATTGTCATTGTTTGCCCAGATGCTCTACGTTGAGGGATGTCTTATGGCTATCCTGATTGTCTTACCCAATGCTAATGTTTTGTGCAAACTGTATCAGGAACTATGTAAAACTTGCTAAATTCTCAGGAATATCACACCTTGGCCTGCCTGAGCCACAGTAACCCCACCTTATGTGTGACATAATTTCTAACCGTTTGTTGAGAGGGGATGCACTGGCGGAGGAAGAGGAGTGGGGGGGAGCGCACCAACCCCAGCAGCGCGATCCCGGCAGAGTGCCATCGCAGCTGCCCCCCTGCCTGCGCTGGGCACCCCGACCCCAGGACACGCGCCTGCTCTCCACCCCCCAGTGCCGAAGCATGAAGCTCCGCCACTGAGGGGATATCCTCCTTCTCCACGCCAAAATGAAAACCCTTAAAAAGAGATGTTTCTTCGTGGTTCTGGGTCTCTCTTGCCTCCTTGCAACAGAAAAATAAAGTTCTGCCTTGCTTTTGCTGCATCCTTTCTCCATCCATTCATCTCTGATCGATCATGGACTTAGCGGACTCAGTCCCTTGGGGGGGTTGGGCATCAAAAGCCAACCACCCCTATTTTTCTATATTGAAGTGAAGCAGGTAACTGTGCTACAGAGTTCTCCAAACTTGAGAACTGCCCACTTTCTTGAATGTTTTTTTAAAAAGAGATGGGAAGACACAGTGAGCCAGTGTGGTGTAGTGGTTAAGAGCGGTAGTCTTGTAATCTGGTGAACTGGGTTCGCTTCCCCGCTCCTCCACATGCAGCTGCTGGGTGACCTTGGGCCAGTCACACTTCTCTGAAGTGTCTCAGCCCCACTCACCTCACAGAGTGTTTGTTGTAGGGGAGGAAGGGAAAGGAGAATGTTAGCCGCTTTGAGACTCCCTAGGGTAGTGATAAAGCGGGATATCAAATCCAAACTCTTTTTCTTGTCTTCTTAAACTTTGGGTTCTGGGCTGAATGAATGCCTAAAATGCATGGATGGGGAACCTTTAGCCCTCCAGATGTTGCTGAACTGCAACTCCCATCTGCCTCAGCACACATGGCCAATGGCCTGGTGTTGAAAGAATCTCAGCAACATTTGGAAGGCCAAAGCTTCCCTCCACCTGCTGTAAAACGAAAGGTGAGTTTCTACCATGTCCAATGGCCCTGCCAGCCCCTTCTGGCTCAGGCTACATACCTAATGTTGACCTTGCATATAAAAACCATCACAACCTGATAGCCTGGCAGGATATAAATCTGAATTTCAGAAAGATTAATTCAATTTGGTGCTCATCTAAAATTTCCTTCCTTCCAGGGAACAGTTCTTTTTATTATATTTTTTTAAATGGTCTCATGCGTGTGTTTTCAAATGCAGTAAATAGTCTTGTTCTGAGCTCTTTGCCTTTCTTAGACTCTGACATAAGGAGGCTATAAATTATTTCCTTCTATAAAAGGCAAGGAGGTAAATCCTCAGCAGAATGTGCAGAGAATTAGCCACTTAACTCCCATTAGCATTAATAAGAACGGAATATTTATTTACTCCACAGCACATAAATCACAACCTTGTAACTTCTATAATTTCTTAACTATAATGTTTCCATTGTTCCCTTGGCTCCTGGTTATCCACCTCAAATATTTACCGGAGGTGTTGGCTTCAAAGAAGTAGGGTGACCTCGCTGAGACTTTGCTCTTTCCTGTCATCATAGCAGCTGTAAAACTCCAGACTGATTGTACCGGGGTGGTGAAGTCATTGAAGATTCTGGGACTGTGAACACATTGTCAGCTTAAAAACGCAGCTGGGTCGTTCTTTTTCTCAATTGAGATCGAAGGTGGAAATGCATCAGAATGCGGTATTTCATAAGAAACGACAGGATAGATATGGATTGTTGCTCACACCTCCACACCGGACCTAGTTAAACTATGAAAGTCGCTCCCATGGGAGGCAGCAATGGCCACCAACTTGGATGGCTTTGAAAGACGATTAGACAAATCCATGGAGGACAACGCTATAAAAGCCTACTAGCTATGATGAACATGTCCTACCTCCAGGGATGCCCTGCTGCCACACCCATGATGGGGAGCAGTGGTCTAAACCACTGAGCCTCTTGGGCTTGCCGATCAGAACGACAGCGGTTCGAATCCCCATGATGGGGTGAGCTCCCGTTGCTCTGTCCCAGCTCCTGCCAACCTAGCAGTTTGAAAGCACACCAGTGCAAGTAGATAAATAGATACCTCTCCGGCGGGAAGGTAAACGGTGTTTCCGTGCACTCTGGCTTCTGTCACAGTGTCCCATTGTGCCAGAAGCGGTTTTATCATGCTGGCCACATGACCTGGAAAGCTGTCTGTGGACAAACACTGGCTCCCTCAGCCTGAAGCAAGATGAGTGCCGCAACCCCATAGTTGCCTTTGGCTGGACTTAACTGTCCAGGAATCCTTTACCTTTAGCTTACCTAGTGGCCCACGTGGTCCAGAATCCTGTTCTCATAGTGGCCAACCAGGGGCCCTTTACCTTTTTTAGGGGTGCAAAATCTGTAGGGGTGGCAAGGGGAGATCTTTAGTTGCCAAGCAAACTGGAGTGGGTACGATCGCTAACACAGCCACAGCTCTGCTTGAGCATGCTTCCTTAGAGATGGGCCTCATCCGCTCTATCAGAAAACATTAAAAAAAACTTGCCTTGAACTGAATCATTTCCAGTATCTTTCTAGGCTCATGTATTATCTGCATGCCCTGGCAGTGGCTTCCTGGCAGAGGTCATCTAAAATGCTGTTCAGTGGGAATGACAGGAACTAAAGTGGCCGTGGGTCAGGGTAGGAAACTGGATTCTGCTGATGGGCCCTGCTGGGGCCCTGCACCTGTCAATCACCTGACATCACAGTGATGCCAGATGACCTGCTTTCCTTTGCCCATGCTGGTGCTTGCAAAGCTCTGAAGGTGGTGTTGGCTGATTGGTACTGTCGGCAAACTCTGCTTTCAGGCCAGCTGTATCTTTACCTGCCCCATAGCTGAAATGTGGGCGTGGCTTGGTCAAAATGGCTTCACAGGCTAAGTGGGGAGGCCTGGTGTGAATGATTAAGCTAAGGGATGGAGGTTCCTCACTGCTGCCATTCGCTTGAATGGCTCTCCAGTCCAAGTCTGGTTTAACGACAATGAACCATCAGAAGGGACAGCAGGAGGAGCCTTTTGAAATTGCCCCATCAACAGTTAGTACCTGGGCACCAGACTGAGCAGATACCCAGTGGCCAACTGGTCACAGTCTTCCCCACTATGGTGAGATGTATCACAATGCTGTATAAATTATCAATCTTTTTTTGTGTCTATGCATATAAATTAGCATATATAATATCCCCTTGGCCCTCCCTCTAATAATAATAATAATAATAATAATAATAATAATAATAATAATACTGTTCTTTCTGTGATGTACAAGTGGCCACAGGAGACTAGATCCAGGACTTTCTGCTTGCCAAATCTAAGCTAGGGCCTCTGTGGACATATATGAAGCTTCTCCGTTCTAAGGTAGATCAATGACCCTCTCTTCTGTTTTGAGCAAAGACCTCAGGAGTACTGAGGTCAGAAAAGGCTGAAATAGTACCTTGGACAGCTCCAGGCAAGACTCAGGCTGGAGCCTTGGTAAGAGCAGAGCTCAGACGTTGCTCCAGCAGTAGTTGTCCTCAGGCTGAGCCTTAAATAGGAGCTGCGACTCTATTGCAGTTGCTAGTTCTAGAAAATGCAGGAAAGGGATTGTGATGCTGTGTTTGCTCTTCCCTTGGGCATGTGGTTGACTTCTGCAAGAACAGGATACTAGTCTTCTTGTGTTCTTTAAATATCAAAACCAGCACTTTGAATAGAGCCCAGAAATATGGCTGCCACACACCCGGATTTTCCTGGACATTACCGGGATTTCAAAGGCGGAATTGACAGCTCAACAACTTCCAGGATGTCCTGGTTTTTACTTTTTGAAATATGGCAAACCTACCAGAAACAATTTGGCAACCAGTGAAGTTGGGCAAGAACAGGTTTTATATGTTCATGCCATCTTGTTCCAGTTAACAATCTAGTTGCTCCTTGCGGCACTAGACAGTAGTTTCCAAACTCTCTTCAAAGGCAGCCCCATGCACAGCACACTGAAGCAATCTATCCATTAAGTAATGTCTACTTGTTTTAAAAATCTGTTGATATTCTCTGTATTTTAGGTACGCATGGACAAACATAAACACAATATTATGCGGCTTGTAAAATTCCTTACATAAATAAAACATGCTGAATCTGTGGAGGCCTACTGTGGAACTGGTAAATACAGAAGCTTGGGCTGTTGCACTTTTAACCCAATTCTTTTGTGCTCCTACCTTCAAGTGGCTTCAAGTTTCCCTGTTTATCTTTGCCAATAAATCAACTGTTCCTTTGCTACAAGTCAGTGTGTTTGCAGGAACCCACCAGGGGTTAGTACAGAGGCAGCTACTCAGGCCAGCAGTGCCTGCCTCCCATCACAAGTATACTTGCACACTACTGCTTTTCAAATTCATCTCAACATTTTTATAAAAGAGAAGCAATTAGCAATAAGAATAACACAGCCAGCGAACTTAGTTCCCCCCTCCACCATGTGTTTTAATGATTGATAGTTCATTTTATAATTAATGAAAAATCCTATAATGTCTATTTGGATTGTCATATTATGCTTCAAAATGAATTAGCATTGTAATGATGCGTATTTTTGCTCTTGTGTACTGCTTTGGGTACATATATGTGGGGAAGTGGTGTACAAATTGAAATAATAAAGTAAAGCATTTATTTCATATTTGTTTATATTTATCTTTGTAGACAATCTCTCTCTGTGTGTCTAGCACATCTCATCCCCAAAGACGTGCAAATTCAACAGACGATTGTCTAACTGAACTGCTAAAGAATCATTCCGGTTTATCAGTCTTTACTATACATAACATGATCCAATATTTATCTACATCTTACGTAGTTTAGGTGGTATCTTAAACTATTAATCAGAGCAGCATGAATTGAAACTTCAGCAGCAAAAATATCAACTGGCATAAGAACTCAGGGGTCTGCCTAAACCTGGCAGGAAGTAATTCCCAAGTATGAAATACATGTGCAAAACACCTTTCATGAATGACACATGCGATGAATGACGCTGCTAAATAAATGCTAGTGGCAACGAAGGTAGGATTGGGCCTCAGTGAACATTTATATTGGGGAGGTATTTGTACACAAGTGCAATATCCCTAGGTGGTGCTATTACAGGTGTATTTTGTGAATTGAGGAGGGATCAGTAAACTCAAGCAAACTCAAAGCATAAAAGGTAAGGTTAAAGGTGCATATAGCTTCCCTGAATGATGGTGTCTGGGGACAGGGGACATTTGCAGGGGACGGGGACATCTGACGGGAATAGGGCATGTCCTATTCACTGCCTATCATTTGGCTTAAAATTCATATGTGGGACAGAAATAATATGTAATACAGTATTGTAGAATTATTATTTTTGCTCAACTATTTGTGTGTGTGCGGAAAGCCTGCATGCCTTTGGAACACGGTCCTTGCCTTTCAAACATGTCAGGGAACTTTTGTTCAAGGTCCATCTACGAATGCAATAAAGCCAGCACCAGCATCATCAACATCCTGAAATCAGCAGAAGGAAACTCAATCTGGATTTGTGCTCAGGTCCTGTTTGCAGGCTTTCGATAGGCATCTGCTTGGTCACTGTTGTTAAGTATAGTAATTTAATTCACTGAAATTGTAAAATACTTGCATGCGTTACTATGTGTTTAAATTTGATTGGCTGGTAACTGAATTCTAGAGCATTCTCTAGTAGTTCTAATGTTGGTCACATGGGAGGTGAAGGAGAGACTCCATTTTATGCAAAGCAAGATGATGGCTGTGTTTCAGGATCCACTGTGAACACTGTTAAGTTGAATCGAGTGTTGGAGTGCTCCTTCTCTGCTTGGAAGAACGAGAGCAAAGCTGCAGAAGAAGGTAAATGTGGACATCTCTCAAAGGAGCTGTAAGGCAGAAGATGCAGAAGGCTAAGTGCCTAGTTCTGGGAGGAGAAGAAAATACAGTTGTTTGTAAGTTAGAAGAAGAGACTATAAGCCCATGCTTGGAGAAGAATGTGACTGTAAATATTATGTTTTAATGCATCTACAGCCATAAGTTTCTGCAAGTACAGTGGTACCTCGGGTTAAGTACTTAATTCGTTCTGGAGGTCCGTTCTTAACCTGAAACTGTTCTTAACCTGAAGCACCACTTTAGCTAATCGGGGCTCCCGCTGCCGCCGCGCTGCCGGAGCACGATTTCTGTTCTCATCCTGAAGCAAAGTTCTTAACCCGAGGTACTATTTCTGGGTTAGCAGAGTCTGTAACCTGAAGCGTATGTAACCTGAAGCATATGTAACCCGAGGTACCACTGTAAAGTTTTTGAACATTAAAGGATGGACATTGGTTTAATTTCCAAAGAAGAGTGTCAGTCATATATATGGTTTGAGCTTCCTAGCTGCGTTTTCGCTATTCTAACTTCAACAACTGTGACAAAAGGATGCTAAACTAGATAGGCCATTTGGACGGATCCATAAGGTTCTTCTTGTGGTCAGTTCCCAGCAAACCTTCACTCAGCAAGGCCTGTCCTTTTATGGAGTTGTTTCACAGTTTCCTCAAAATGCAGAGCTGAACGTCCCCACAGGCCATTCCGTTTGGCCAATATTTTGAGCTGCCTTTTCATTTCAAGTGTATTGAAAGCGTAGCTTTTATCGCAGTTGACCTTATTGCTAATGGCACCTGTCAGGTTCCTACAGAGACTGGAATGAGTCCCGTCTCCGAGTTTGTTTTCATAGCTCTAAAAACAGAGACAGGGATTCACCAGGAGGTCGTTACATAATATTCTGCCATTTGTTGCGGATCCTTTCCCCCTTTGTGAACAAAGAGGCTATTTTCAGTCGTTTCACACAAGGGTGCTGAAGTCATGTCTAGATTGGCACAATATGGGGCTAATTCATGCTATATCAATATATATATTGGGTAACTCACAGACAAAGCACACGGCATAACGGTAGTCACATTATGTTATTTTTATTGTGTCTATGGGCCACCTTTCTCTTCCAAGGAGCTCAAAGTGGCGTACATGGTTCTCCTCTTCCTCATTTTCTCAATCAATGGAGGAGGACTCCGTTGTCTCTCGAGACAGACAGACACCGACAACATTCTCCTCCACAAGATCTCATGCTCACTATCCTGTGACTGTAAGGCTATTTCATGAACATCTGTTCTTCAGATCAGCATTTGAGTACCCAATAAGAACAGTTCAGATGCAACAGTATCTGACGGTTGTTCCCAATAATTGGCTATAGACATGAAGTAACAGTATATGACAGTACAGTGGCCACTGGTGCCCACTGAGACTGGTAGGGCGGAAGGAAGGGAGCTTAACAGTAGGTGGCGCTAGAGCCAATGACAGGCGGAGACTACTTGTTCTGGTTTGGTCCCCATCCTCCTCCCTGCTGAGTTCTACAAGGGCAACACTAAGACTAAAAGGAGAAAGCTGACAAGTGGTGCTGCCGGCCCCTGGACTGGTTGTAAGTAAGCAGTCAGGCAGGTGGCGCCTGTTAAAGAGCAGACCAAGTTTGGTGAGGCAGTCCCCCATTTCCCCTAATAGATGAGCCTCCATGGTGGCGGTATCTACTGCAAGACTTCTAATAAATTTCATCTGTGCTTCAGTAACTCATTTAAGCTTCAATCATAGTCACACTTATCTGGGACCTTCTGAGATCAGGCATCTATCTACAAGGTGTGACTGGAAAGTTCGGTGAATGGTCACAGAAATCGGACAGTGAGAACTATTTGAACATACATACCTTACAGGCCTCCAAAGTAGGCCCCCTCTGATACAATGCACAGTTGACAATGTTTGTAGAACTGTTGGAAACTTCTGGAGAAGTCCTCTTCTCGTACTGCTTTCAGTTCCCTCATCGCAGCAGCTTGGACGTGTGAAATGTTGGAAAACCTGTGCCCTTTCAGTGCAGATTTCAGTTTTGGAAAAAGAAACAAATCTGGTGGGGCCAGATTGGGAGAATATGGAGGGTGGGACAACTCAGTAACCTCAGTAACAATTTCACGCAGGATATGCAATTCTTCCGCCATCATTCGGGTGGACAAACGCTCATCCCGCATCCATAATTCACGAACTCTGTTGACATTTGCCGCTGTTCTGCTCGTCAACGGTCTGCCAGATTGAGGGTCATCTTCAATGGTTTGCCGCCCTTCACGGAAACGCTTAAACTACTCATACACTATCTTTTGAGTTACAGCTTCATCACCATACACAATTGTGAGCATTTCGTGGGTTTCTGATGCCGATTGTATGTTTGAATATTTCTTGCTGTCTGATTTCTGTTTCCATTTACAGAACTTTCTGGTCACACCTTGTATATAGGGTTGTGCTCTAGACCAATAAAAGCCATCAGTTTTAAACACTGGCCAAATCTCCAAATTCTAATATCTAAAGTTGGTGTCAAAATCCAGATTTCAAAACTCACGAAATTGTGAACCTTTGCAAAATGTAACGGCTGCCTTGAATGAGCAATTGCATACAGAACAGTTATGCTAGCATCTTGCTGCTGCACGTTCAGGGCTCTGAACCTCAGCGAAGAAGAGTGTCTCATCCCTACAGAGAATTTAGCAGCGCATGCAATCTATTATGCATTTCACGGGTTCCCTATTAAGAGATTAGGGGAAATATATCTCAAAACTGTGAAATGAGAGCCTAATGATTTGTCAACGTCTGATGGCACCTTTCCATGGAGCTGGCAGGGCATTTTGCTGGAACCTCCTGTCACACTTACATGTTCAAAAGTAACTATTGGCAACCAACTCCAGACTTGGGAGGCTGCTTCCAAACTCTGTAGGAAAAATCTCCCTAAGGCCACTTCATTTAAAATGAACCTAAGCCTTTCTAAAGCATATAATTATGTTTCATCCTTGCGGTCTTATCTTGCATTAGCTTTAATTGCCCTTGAAACTTGGCAACATCTTCCTATCCATTTAAAGAAATTAAACACTTCAGGGTTTTGTTTTTATAGAACTTTTGATATTGAAGTGCCTTGGTTCACCCTCCTCCTCCTTGTGATCCACTTATGTTTTTTCTCCCTGCCCTTCCCAGAAAACACATACAAAGACAAAATCAAACAGAGACAGAATTAACTTGGAGTAACCAGCAAGCCAGAATTCATTTAGGTGAATTTAGGAGGGGTCTGGTTAATTTATAAAATGGAAAGTGCTAAAACTTGGGTTATAGCCAACTAAGGCCCCACCTGAACTATAAATTTAAAGCATTATTATACTACATTAAATAGTCATGGCTTCCCCAAAGGATCTTGGGAACTATAGTTTGTTAAGGGTGCTGAGAGTTGTTAGGCGATCCCTATTCCCCTCACTGGGACACGGGTGGTGCTGTGGGGTAAACTACAGAGCCTAGGACTTGCCGATGAGAAGGTTGGCGGTTCAAATCCCCGCAAAGGGGTGAGCTCCCGTTGCTCGGCCCCTGCTCCTGCCAACCTAGCAGTTTGAAAACATGTCAAAGTGCAAGTAGATAAATAGGTACCGCTCCGACGGGAAGGTAAACGGCGTTTCCGTGTGCTGCTCTGGTTCGCCAGAAGCGGCTTAGTCATGCTGGCCACATGACCCGGAAGCTGTATGCTGGCCAATAAAGTGAGATGAGCGCCGCAACCCCAGAATCGGTTACGCCTGGACCTAATGGTCAGGGGTCCCTTTACCTTTACCTATTTCCCTCACAGAGCAACAATTTCCACCTTTTACTTGTGTAGGTGTAGTCATAGTTGTTATTCTTTCTTAATCTTGCTAGTCACATGTTATCTGAAGTCCTTGTTGATGGATTAACACTTTTATTACTCCTATGTTTTATTATGTGCTATGAATTTTAAACGTTTAAGTTGTTCTGTGCTTTAATATTTTGTAAGTCAGGTTGAGAGGTTTTGTAAACTGTGATGAACTATTGATAACAGCAGTGCTTTTTTTCTAAAAAAAAATGTTTAGAGGTACTCTAATTTTCCTACTCATATTGAAATAATGCCCCTCAATGAGGCCAAACTTAGATTCACAAAATGTTTAGGGGTATGCGTCCCCCTCCCCCCCCCCGAAAAAAGCACTGGATAATAGTAATAATAATACATCTCACCCTGCAAAAAAAATGAGAGGTCCCATCAATATTGGCATTCTGCCGGCTCTTGAAGACACACCTGTTTAGACCAGCTTTCCCCTGATCTCCAGACTTGAACCTCCTGTTTTAATTGCTGTTTTTGCTTGTCATGTTGTTTTTCTCCATATGCCTGTTTTGCTGCACATTTTAACTGTGTGCATTTTAATGTTTTGGTGGATTTGTTTTATTGCGGCTAAATTTTTCATCAATGACAAACCTAGTCATGCATCTTAAAAAGCAGAGACATCACCTTGCCAACAAAGGTCCGTATAGTTAAAGCTATGGTTTTCCCAGTAGTGATGTATGGAAGTGAGAGCTGGACCATAAAGAAGGCTGGTCGCCGAAGAATTGATGCTTTTGAATTATGGTGCTGGAGGAGACTCTTGAGAGTCCCATGGACTGCAAGAAGATCAAACCTATCCATTCTGAAAGAAATCAGCTCTGAGTGCTCACTGGAAGGACAGATCCTGAAGCTGAGGCTCCAATACTCTGGCCACCTCATGAGAAGAGAAGACTCCCTGGAAAAGACCCTGATGTTGGGAAAGATGGAGGGCACAAGGAGAAGGGGACGACAGAGGACGTGATGGTTGGACAGTGTTCTCGAAGCTACCAGCATGAATTTGACCAAGCTGCGGGAGGCAGTGGAAGACAGGAGTGCCTGGCGTGCTCTGGTCCATGGGGTCACGAAAAGTCAGACATGACTAAACTACTAAACAACAACAACATATTTTTCATAGTCTGTTTTGTACCTACTTAGATGCCATTTTGGCAGTCATGGTGTATGTAAATTATTATTAGTAATAGTAGTAATTTATGCTCTTTATTGTTAAGCATTTTTCACCTCTAAGGTCCAGCAGGTATTTGGGGATAGCACAGGGCTTCCGCTGCTGCTACTGACCATGCTCCATTGCAATGGAACATCCTTAGAAGTATTATGGGTACAAACAGGTGTGTGTTGGATGAGGTGACCCTCAGGGCTTTGGGCTAGATGACACTCAGGAGTCTCTTTCATCTCTTCAGTTCTGTTATATTGATACGCAAATGCTGCACTAATGATGCTTTTCTGCTGTCGAGATGCTCTGCGTCCCCTTTTACTTTTTTATTTTGTTGCATTTACTTTTTTTTTTTTTTGCAAGCAGGTCTGGTTTCTTCAAAGAAACAACGGACCTACTTTTCAATAACCCTACGAACAAGCAAACAAAAGAAATTAAACAAGCAGGTCAAAATGTCAAAATAATCCCTCTTGACTTCCTTTAGCCCCCTGGTCTTGACCCCTGTTTTATAATACCTGTGTTTTCACTGTCTTTCATGTTCATTTTTTTAAAAAAAAGTTTTAGAATTATCATTCCATTATTGTAGTTAAAAGCTTAGATTTGAAAGCAACAATCAGCTTCAATGTATAAAGAGCAAGTTTCTAGCCCTTACATTTTATGAAATGCTCATGAAAACTTGTAGGCAGCCCCTGATGAAATGTCAGAAGCCAGAAAGAGGGTGGTTTCAATATCATGTGTAGCTCCTTGTCCCCCCCCCCAGGATAAACTATGCAAAAAAACAACAACAAAAAACTATACTATTTGCATAATTTGGCTGGGCGCAGAGTTGTGTGGGTGGTGGATGGGTGGGTTTCAAAGAAGAAGAAGCTTGGAATAAGCTCAACCACTATTTTGTAACCTCATTGTGAAATTCCTGGTTTGATGCCAACACTGCGATGGATACTGTACAGAAGGGACATGGAGGCTGGCTAGGAGGCTTAAAATCTGAGCACAAGTTCATTTCATAAATCACAATAACTTCCAGAAACCAAGCGCTAGGTGGAAGTGTCTCTAACCCATATTTGCCTTTTAGCTTTTGAGTTCCTGTTCTTCTCCGCTGTTCTCATGATATGTGGCTTATGTTTGCTTCATCCCACGGGCAAACTGATTTAAGCCACAATCCTATCCATGCTCACCCAGGAGTAAGCCTTGTTGGACTTCCTTCAGAGTAGACGTGCATAAGGTTTCCCTGAAATAGCTGGACAGATCAGTCCCCAGACTGCGATTCTGCCTCCCCCCACCCTGGGTCTATGAAGACGGCATGCCACTTCAGCAGATAAATGATGTGTGCTTATCACGACGTTCAATAAAACAGGAGATCATGAGCTGTGACAGCAGGATTAGATTGAGGGTGGAAACTTGGAGTTCATGGAGCGAATACTGTTAACGTATTGTGTGTGCATGCACTTAAAAAAATAATAATCTAAAAGCTTGTTTTTCAACCGTGGGGTACACTTAATCCAACTTGAAGCCTTGTATATTATGTGCATTGTGAAGTTAGGTTTTGTTGCTTCCATACAAAAGCTTTCTCTGTCGGGTGGGTGGGGAGAATTCCTTATTGCACAAACAAATGCCTTTTTGATATGCAACAGATTGGATGGTTTTGTTGCAAAGTCCAAAAGTACTTTCCTTGGATGGGGAAGAGCCCCACCCCCTATCCAATAACTCCAAATGGTTAGGGTCAAAAAGTAAAATTCCTGACACCCGCAAAGTTTTTGAGCTTCTGGAGCTGTTTCTGCTGCTTTTTCCATCGTGTCGCCTTACATCCGGGTTTCCCTGATGTTTTGCCGATTCAGCAAAATCCCCCCCCCCCCCGTGCCATTTTTACACCTGAAAACCAGGACATGTCAGGAATTTTCCTGATGTATGGCAAGCCTACAAATAGTTCCTCTCTATACCCCCCTCCATTACACTCACTTAATGAGTATAATGCCTATTGGGCGACTTTATATAACAGCTGTTTCAGAGTTTGAGATTTGTTCCTAGGGTGGTGTAGTATTTAGACTATAAATATGAGGATTTATAGACCTGGGTTTTTGTCCCCTTGACGTTCACCCATGGAAGGTCAGTGGGTGACTTTGGGCAACTCATATTCTCTCAGGCTAACCTGCCTCACAGTGTTGTTGTGAGAATAAGATTGAGTTGGGACACAGATACAAGATAACAACTCTGGATGGGAATTGATGACTTAGCAAGCTGTCTCTCTGTTAGCCAGAGAAAATATTGTTTGATCTCACCTATGTAATTCCCTCCTGCGAAGTAGCAGCATTATGCTCCCAAAGGGGTGCTGGGTCAAAGCCCCCGTGCAGCTGGTAGCAGGACCAGAAGTTGCTTTCTAAAAACAAATTGTTGTTGTTGTTGTTGTTTAGTCGTTTAGTCGTGTCCGACACTTCGTGACCCCATGGACCAGAGCACGCCAGGCACTTCTGTCTTCCACTGCCTGCCGCAGTTTGGTCAAACTCATGCTGGTAGCTTCAAGAACACTATCCAACCATCTCGTCCTCTGTCGTCCCCTTCTCCTTGTGCCCTCCATCTTTCCCAAAATCAGGGTCTTTTCCAGGGAGTCTTCTCTTCTCATGAGGTGGCCAAAGTATTGGAGCCTCAGCTTCAGGATCTGTCCTTCCAGTGAGCACTCAGGGCTGATTTCCTTCAGAATGGATAGGTTTGATCTTCTTGCATTCCATGGGACTCTCAAGAGTCTCCTCCAGCACCATAATTCAAAAGCATCAATTCTTCGGCGATCAGCCTTCTTTATGGTCCAGCTCTCACTTCCATACATCACCACTGGGAAAACCATAGCTTTTACTATACGGACCTTTGTTGGCAAGGTGATGTCTCTACTTTTTAAGATGCTATCTAGGTTTGTCTAGAAAACAAAAAGAGTATTGTCTAAAAACAATACTCACTGGTAAATGCCAATGTTTGATCATCTGCATTGAGTTGGGCAGCCCATAGTAAGGACCTTGAAGGACCTGATAAGAACCTTGTGCTTGATGGTTGACAGCCCAGCAGCACATGCATGCTGTGGCATATCAAAGGAAACAGAATTTGCAGGTGTAGAGCACTTGGGCAGTCATTTTGTCAGTTGTAGGCAATGGCTTGTTAAGGTGGAAAAAGGCTTTGATATGCAGAGGAATGTTGAATAGGCTTGAGTGTGCAATTGTCTTATGTCTGAACACATTCTGGGTTTCCCCTAAACTCTCCAGGGCAGATTTAGGGAGAGTGTGGTGGTGTGCGAGGGGAGGGGAAAGTCCTGGTGTGCGAGCAGACCTCATTCTGCGCACACAACAACTTAGCTGAATCCTGCTGTAGACGCCACAAAGTCATGACTCAGAGCAGCTTGGGTTGCTTCTGTGTCCATGATTCACAATAGTTTGATGGAGGGGAGAACTGAATAATTTTGGTTCAAACTCTTCAATCCTTGACCGAGATCCTGTTATCTTATTGTTTGGGCCAAGATCTTAGCACATCAGCTGGAGACATTGATTTTGTCTCATCCTTGCCCCAGATATAGCTAAATCCTGCTATCCCTGCCTGGCATGCCAATTTTAGGGGGCTGACGTGTCTTTGACCCCCTCAATCTTTGTTGCAAAGAGTCCAGGCCCCCTCAACCTTGGGGACAACCTGGTGTCTCCCCCACTCCCCCTTCCTAAAGGAATCACTCAGACCTCACACCTTTCCAGCAGAACAAATATAATCTAAACATGAGATCATAAAAAAATATTGGAAAACATTATACTGGAGCTGCTGGCATGGCTTACACTGGGATACCATGGAAGGGAGCTTGCATTTCACATCTCCCTTGGGTCACATAAAGGATTTCACTCCTAGTAACAGTTGCAAACGTAGGCCTCACATTTTGCAGACTGCAGGTTATATGAGAAAACAGGGGGCTTTCCAGATACGTTGCAGAAGATTATTCGAGCACCTTTAACAATACACACATGGGGAGATTTCCTTCAGCGCTATTCAGCTACGTTTGGATGTAACGCTAAATCGCAATTTAGAATTATGAGAACGAACCTCAGCGACCCTCAGGCTCACACGCTCTTTTCTCCTCTAAGAAGTGGGTAGGATTTGGAAGCTTATGCTTTAGAATATTAACTGCAGTTTCTTGTGTTGCCCAAACCCTGAACCTGTAGATAAACTGGGGCTTGTTGAAACAAGCCATCTTTATAAACAATGGTTTGAAGTTGGCTTGCCTGAAGAAACCGTAGTTAGGAATAACCACAGTTTGTCCTGTTCGAGGCAGCAGGGCAAGCTGAGTAGTTTAATCTGAAATGGAAAGGGATACCTTCCAAATTCATGGAGGACAATACTATCAATGGCTACTAGTACTTCAGCTGCACAAGGTCCCTTATCAAAGGCAGTATCCCTCTGATTTCCAGTTGCTGCAAAGAGCTATTGTGCTCAGGTCCAGCTTGTGAGCATCTAGATAGGCTTTTTTTGTCTTGATCCAGCAGGGCTCTTCCTAAACTCCTACTTGTGGCTGTGCCAGAGGAGTAGGGTTGGGCAAAATGTGGCTCAAGTCGGGAAGGGGGAACTGGGGGGCTAAAAATTACTTTACCCAGTGCAGAAATGACTTCAAAGCAATCCATTACAAGGAGTTGTTTCCAGTGCTGGTCATACTCATAGAGGAGACCCAATGAAATGTACAGATCTAAGTTAGCAATGCACATTAGTTTCCATGACTCACATCCTCCCCACCTGCTAGGCTTCTCCTTGTCAGAAGAATGGTAAACATAGAAAACTCAGTCAAAAAAGAAAGAGGGGTGAAGACAGCAACAAAATCTGTTTCTTTTCCTCACAGAGCTTTGCCTCCAACATCCCTTTCTGTGCAGCTGCTAATGCCACACACATACATGCATCATCAGGGGTGCCAACTTGGGCCCCAGATTATCGGTGCCCAGCAGTGTGCATGATGTAGCGGTGCCTGGGAGCCCTGAAAGTCATGTCAGGGGACTCACAAGGCCTCAGAGGCCACCTTGGAGGCCTCAGGACATGGCTTCCAGTGCTTCGCGAAGACCTAGAAGTTGTGTCCCCAAACCCCGGAGGTGGTGTCTGGGGCCTCGCGAGGTGGAGGAGGAGGTGGGGAGAAGAAGGTAAAGGACCCCTGACCATTAGGTCCAGTCGTGGCCGACTCTGGGGTTGCGGCGCTCATCTCACTTTATTGGCCGAGGGAGCCAGCGTACAGCTTCCGGGTCATGTGGCCAGCATGACTACGCCACTTCTGGCGAACCAGAGCAGCGCACGGAAATACCGTTCACCTTCCCACCGGAGCGGTACCTATTTATCTACTTGCACTTTGCATGCTTTCGAACTGCTAGGTTGGCAGGAGCAGGGACCGAGCAACGGGAGCTCACCCCATCGCGGGGATTCAAACTGCCAACCTTCTGATCTGCAAGTCCTAGGCTCTGTGGTTTAACCCACATGCCACCCGCATCCCTGGGGAAAAGAAAGCAAGGCAGAAATAAGGGACAAACTGTATCCCTTAAGGCTGTTTCGGGCAGTGTGGAGCCTGCAGGCACCCGAGCCACCACAGCATTCGCAGAAGAGACGCATGGCTTGGGCGCGCTGCAGGCCCGGTGGTAAATGCCGCCCAGTGCACCCTGCCCCTGTAGTTATGCCTCTGCCTTAAGGGATGCAGCATTTCCCCTTGAAATAAGGGACAGTCCCTTATTAAAAGGGTCAGGTAGTGACCCTACAGAGGAGGAGCAAGAGGCCTGAGGCTCATTGAAGTCTACGTCTTTGTGTAGGGCTATGTCTCTTTTGTTTCTTCTTTAAAAAATCTGAAGTTGGATGCTTGGTGTCACAGAAAACCACACACAACAAAATCTGCCAGATTCACTTCTTCCCCCCCAAATGGTTAACTGCTTGTGTGTGTGTAATCCAGGGGTCAGCAACCTTTTCCAGCCATGGGCCGGTCCACCGTCCCTCAGACCATGTGGTGGGCCGGACTATTTTTTTTTGGGGGGGGGGAATGAACAAATTTCTATGCCCCACAAATAACCCAGAGATGCATTTTAAATAAAAGGACATGTTCTACCGTCTTCAGACAGGTTTACTCACCCTCAGCAGAATTAGGATTGCTTATGCAATGGTTTACTGGAAGTTAATTCCAAGGGAGAATATATAGGCCTGGTCTGCAAGTCAGCTATCCAGTCCTGAATGTTGAGGGATGCTCTATTTTCCACTGCGTGTCTAGACAGGTGTGGGTTGGCCGCTGAAAACCTTTGTAAAGACTTCACTTCATACTTTCGGTTTTCCTCAGATTGCTGTTTGTCCAATTCAGTGGTTTTCATAGAATCCTAGAACTGTAGAGTTATAAGGGACTTCAAGGGTCATCTAGTCCAACCCCCTGGAATGCAGGGATTTTTGTGGGGAAAGTGACAGGGGAGAAAAAGTGCTTGGACATGGAGCTTTAAAGCGCAGATCTGTGCCTTGAAACACAGCACAAAAGGAAGTCTGGATCAGCCCTAAGTGACTAAGCTGGAAGAGAATTTCCCCCAATTCCTTGACTCTGAAGTATATAGTGGTACCTCGGGTTACAGACGCTTCAGGTTACCCGTTTTCAGGTTGCGCACCACGCTGAACCCAGAAGTACCGGAACAGGTTACTTCCGGGTTTTGGCGCTCGCGCATGCGCAGAAACGCTAAATTCCGCTTTGCGCATAAGCGCCGAATTGCAACCCGTGCATGCGCAGACGCGGCGCTGCGGGTTGCGAACGCTGCGGGTTGTGAACGTGCCTCCTGCACGCATCACATTCACAACCCGAGGTTCCACTGTACAGTGGTACCTCGGGTTAAGAACTTAGTTCGTTCTGGAGGTCCATTCTTAACCTGAAACCGTTCTTAATCTGAGGTACCACTTTAGCTAATGGGGCCTCCCGCTGCTGCTGCTGCTGCTCCGCCGCCGCCGCGCAATTTCTGTTCTCATCCTGAAGCAAAGTTCTTAACCTGAGGTAATATTTCTGGGTTAGCGGAGTCTGTAACCTGAAGCGTCTATAACCCGAGGTACCACTGTACTTTCTCTGCATCATCATGTTTACAACAGTTTCAGAGTGTGGTAAAGTTAAGGCTGTCAGGTCTCATGATAACAACCGGGAAACAAATTTATTTCCTTAACTTTTTGCTCTCCCCCTCCCCCTCCCTGCAGCAGAGATGTCCTTAACATGTTCCTCACGTATGAGGGGAAAGAATTATTCCTTCACAAGTCTGCACTTTCTCTTTGCACGCAGTTGCTGGCTGGAGGAGTAAACTTTTGCATAGATGGCAAAACAGGAGAGGAAGACTGCACTCAAGTCGGATAAAATGCAAGCGTTGTCCTACGGTTTACAAATCTGCACATATTGCCCTAGCTCTGAGCTAGTGTGTTCAGTGGTGTAGTGGAGATGGGGAAGTCCAGGAAAATGTGGTGCCACTTATTTCACCGTAGGGACAAGGGTGCCATCTCCTGGGGCACAATTTTGCCATCTTCTGCTGGCCAAATAAATTGTGTAGTTTTTCCCCCCTCAAAGAGAAACCTGCCAAGTAAGTTAACCAGAGGAAGAGGTAAGTTACACTAGAAGATAAATTTCCACTTCTAACTGGATAGCTTGGTTGGTAAGACACGAGGCACTAAATCTCAGGGTTGTGGGTTTGAGTCCCACGTGCGGCAAAAGATTCCTGCATTCAAGGGGGTTGGACTAGATGACCCTTGTGGTCCCTTCCAACTCTGCAATTCCATGATTATATTTTAGACTGAATAAAGTCACCTTGATGACACAAAGTAGTGGCTAAACCTTGGCTGTTCTCAACTGTCCACTTGGCTGGAAAAACAGGAGGAGACCCGAGAGTAAAAATTGGTTTGTATTGAAATCATAATGTCTGCGTTGATCAAAAATCCTTTTTTGTTGTAGAAGGGGCAAGGCTATGGGATTGTCATGAAGAGTGTCTGCACCGCATCATGATTTGCCACTGCACCAGCGAGAGCCATCTGCAGTATGGATATTGTTACAGATTTGGGGGGAAGCCTCCCTAAACCCTAGAAATTAATAAATGGGGGGGGAGGGTTGGAAGGTTGCCATGGTAACTGGGTGTGAGGTGACAGGGGAAGAGGGTTTGGGAAAGGGTTTCTGGGTAGAAGAAAGGAAGAGAAAAGACTGGGATCCATCTTGGGCAGGCTGGCTGAAGGCTGACTGGGAGAGATGCCTTGAATTCCAGGGCTGCACTGCTGTGCAGGACAAGCCCATCTTGAGATGACCATGCTGTAAGATCTGGACTTCCTCCTGTCATGGAATTCTACTCATTATTGATCCAGAGCAGAACTCCAATGTATAGTTAGCAGAGTAAACACGTTGCAAGATTCCCCCCAAAATAGACCAGAGGCAATTGTATTTCATCCAGCAGAGCTTTACTGCTTCTAAGGGCAAAATCCAGTTGCAGCAGACTTAACTTAAACTTACAATAACTTATAATAAGTCTAAACCTTAACACTAAGCATACTATGTACAGAACACCACACCAGAAGGAAAAGAGATAGAAAGAGAAACTGAAACCCAGGATCCTTTTGGCCTTACTTTTATAGTCAGCATGACCTTGACAGAAGAGCTAAAAGAAGCAGTTTAAACCAGCTGTACTCAGCTTCTCTGAAGGAATAACCCAAACATCATGAACCTTCTGCTTGTTTCTTTCACACAGAGAAGCTTCCGGAACCCTCTTGGACTAATTAGAATAGGGAAGATCTCTACACATCAGATCAATACTTTCTGCACCAAGAAATGCAAACTGACGCCTCCATGCAGGCCGAAGGTGTGTAAATAGGTGAATAAACACTATTTCTTAAAGCTATGGCAGTCTCCACCATGTCTCAGTTCTCCAAAGGAACACAGACCCTGTGTGAGTGCCGGAAACCCCATGGACTTTTGCTACCCACTTGGCAGAGAGAGCAGGGGGCACCCAACTTTCGTAACAATATAAAGAACTCTTTGGTAAGAATGAGTCAGGCCAATAATTCACATGAGGCTGTGTACACATCATGCATTTAAAGCAACCCCTCCACACACACACAAAGAACCTTGGGAAATGTAGTTTTTTAAGGATGCTGAGAATTGTAGCTATGTGAGGGGTAAACTATAGATCCCAGTGTTCTTTGTGTGGGTAGAATGTACCTTTAAATGCATGGAGTGTAGACAACGTAACTCAGTAGCGTCAAACTTGACGGAAAGCAGATCTGGGAGCTTCAAGTCTGTATAGGTCAGTGTTTCTCAGACAGTGGGAAGCATCAGTGCGCCTGGACCTCTTTCTGATAGGTCTCCGTACCAAAGGCTGCCTAATGCCTCCTCACTTGTCTGGTCTACCCTCTAGTCATGTCATAATGGCAGGTGCCATTAAAAATGAGATTTGAAAGAAACGCAAATACAAAACAGGTTCCAAAGCCTCCCTCTCTATCATAATGAGAAGAAACAGGAAGAACAAGAAGACCACAGGGCAGCAACCACAGGGAATCCATTATTTTGTTTTTTAAAAAATCTTTCCACATTATTTTCGTTTGGGAAAGGGCCAAATTATAGAAGAACGACCTGTGGGGTGGGGCTAGAGTGAAAACGAAACGAAAGATTAATCAGAAACAGCTTGCAGATAATGAGGTTTGCCTCAAATATGACACCCACAATTTGGGCCGTTCACGCCATCTTTTAAAAAGAAGATATTACAAAGCCAATCTATGTACAGCTTCCATGTGCACACCATAAAGTTTGGTCTGCTGTGTAGTTTTGATTTCAGACTACATCATTTGTCTTTGTCCTCCTCCCTTTAGCAAAGGGTAGTGTGATCAATTTTTCATATTAAAAAAACAAGCTGATGAACGATGGCTTTTGGCATTTCCTATCGGTGACCCCATTTGTTGCTTTTGTGGGAACAAAAGAAGTGCAGAGTTTCTTTTCGCAGAGACTAATGGTGGTGTAAACGCCAGAGATGAGACAAATGACGGGAGAGATCCTCCGAAGACAGCACAGGGAATAGTTAATCCATGTAAAATTATACTTTCTCACCCACGGAATTCCGGACTGCAGGATACTGTCCTGAATGGATTCTATAGTCTCTGCTCCTAGCCCAAGCACATTCCTTGCGATTCATCACAAAACCCCTTCTCATGAAACTGAACTTTGCAAAGGATTGAGGACAAAAGTCTGGGACTGACACAGGTCTTATTTGTTTACTTATTGGATTGGATTTGTAATCCACTTGCTCCTCTAAAAAGTGGCTCACAATTTAGGGATGTAAGGAGGCAGCAGTTTCCATGCTGTCCTGTGTCTGGAGCAATCATAGCTGTTTCTCTTTTATTACAGTTCGTCTTCTGCTTGAGCCTTGCTGCCCACTATGGTCAAAACTACTGTAATTAATCATGTAGTTAACTATGAAAATAAAGCTGGTGCATTTCAATGGAAGGCAAATGTCAAAAGCAATGCAGAAAATGCAATTTGTTTTAAAAAACTGAAACTAAAAATAGAGAAAACTGCTTGGATTCACTTGCCGGATTTCTGTTCTTGACCTCTGACGAACATGCAAAATGTGACAACTTCTGCTACTGTTTCCATTTCGGATGGAGTTCTACAAGATCCTGACTCGCAAAATATATAAAATGCAATCCAATTCCAAATACAAGACCACATAAAACCATTTAATATCATAGAATCATAGAACTGTAGAGTTGGAAAGGACCGCAATGCAATGCAGGAATCTGTTCCCCAACATGGGGCTCAAACCCTGAGATTAAGAATCCCATGTTCTACCATTTCATAATGATAAAAAGTCAAACAGCCAGCAAAAAAGTAAAGTAAAATGTACAGTGGTACATCTCCTTACGAACTTAATTCGTTCAGAGGTCTGTTCTTAAGCTGAAACTGTTCTTATCCTGAGGCGCGTTTCCGCTAATGGGGTTTCCCCCTGCACACGCGCCTCTGGTGCACAATTTCCGTTCGCATCCTGGGACAAAGTTTGCAACCAGGAGCAGCTACTTCCGGGTTAGCGGAGTTCGTAACCTGAAGCATTCGTAACCAGAAGCGTTCGTAACCAGAGGTACCACTGTAGTAACAGTGCAACTCAGCCAGACCCTGGCACAACAGCCCTAATTTGCAGTTCTTCCTTTTATGAAGTTGCAGAGGCCTTAGGGGAGAAGTAGGTCTTCAAGGCCTCATGGGACAGGACCTGCCTAACCTCCAGAGGAACCAAATGGCATAATTGTGGGGCCACCGCTGAGAAGGCCCTGCGACAATATGCATAAACCGACACAGGCAAATCTGTGCCCCCTGTTTGATGGACCATTTTTTTGTTGGTGTGTAAGTGAGCCACCAAAGGTCCGTATAGTAAAAGCTATGGTATTCCCAGTAGTGATGTATGGAAGTGAGAGCTGGACCATAAAGAAGGCTGATCGCCGAAGAATTGATGCTTTTGAATTATGGTGCTGGAGGAGACTCTTGAGAGTCCCATGGACTGCAAGAAGAACAAATCTATCCATTCTTAAGGAAATCAGCCCTGAGTGCTCACTGGAAGGACAGATCCTAAAGCTGAGGCTCCAATACTTTGGCCACCTCATGAGAAGAGAAGACTCCCTGGAAAAGACCCTGATGTTGGGAAAGATGGAGGGCACAAGGAGAAGGGGACAACAGAGGACGAGATGGTTGGACAGTGTTCTCAAAGCTATCAGCATGAGTTTGACCAATCTGCGGGAGGCAGTGGAAGACAGAAGTGCCTGGCGTGCTCTGGTCCATGGGGTCACGAAGAGTCGGACACGACTAAACGACTAAACAACAACAACAAAGTGAGCCACTAATCATCTAACTCTATAGAAGTCAGCTTAATAGGTGGTCCTCGTGCAGCTCCTCAGCCTTTGTGTTCTGTTTCCTAGGACCCAGCACATCCTTATAAATACAAGCCCATGGAACGGGCTGTGTCCTAGCCTTCACCATATGTAGGATGCTTATATTTGCATTGCCAAAAAGAAACAAGAAGAGATCCCCTTTTCTCCTTTCCCCCCCTCTGTCGTTATATTTGCAGTTTTATAAAAAAAAAACGGCAATGAAGAAAGCTTTTTTCATCAGTTTCAGGATGAATCATTGGCCTGTTTTATAGTGTGATGTGGGTTAGGTGCCTTCTCAGTTGCCTCTAGTCCCCTTCGCTATGGGGAACACTTCTGAAAAACACCACATTTCTGGTCCCCAAATAAGGCTTCTGTTCCAAATGTTTTTCCATAGTGTAACTTCTCAAACGCCACAACCAGAGAGCTAAGAACAATAGTCCTTATGTCGTCTGGCTAGGGAAACAGTTATCTCCCTTGAGCTGAAACTAGCTCCCTTACTCCTGTGTTTCCCATTTCGCCATATATATATTTTTTTAATCTCTGCAGTCGGCGTTAACGGCCAGCCTATTATACGGGAAGATTTCCATCCAAAGAATATTTTGCTATTTTTATTGTTTCTCCGCAGATGTGTGACTTTTCATTTATTGGTCCCGGATCCATATGCCAACCTCATCAGCTTCTGAAAAGAGAGTGATGCAAATATCTCCTTCGACGAGTCAGTTTCCATCCCTCTAGTAGGTCTGCATTCAGAGAAACAAAAGCAAACAGCACTGGGCACTTTTTCTAATTTAATTAAAAAGGTACAAAATATTTCCAATCATAAAACACCAGGCACCTAGAAAGAAACCTATGGGAATCCAAGGTTATGTTCACATTAGGGCTTAATGCTGCCTCTTTGAGAGCCAGTGTGGTTTAGTGGTTAGCGTGTATGATGAGGACGTGGTTTGAACCCCCACTTGGCCATGAAACTCACTGGGTGACACTGGGCCAGTCACTGTCTTCTCTCAGCCTACCTCACAGGGTGGTTGCAGAGATTAAATGAGGAGGAGAAGAACAATGCACACAGGGCCGGATTTAGCTTTGATGAGGCCCTAAGGTACTGAAGGTAATGGGGCCCTTTATATGTCCAGCTGTCCTTTGTCAACAGCAAATTGCGGCTGTTTTTTGGGGTAATAGGGAACAGTACTAGTAAATAAAAAGCAGAGACATCACCTTGCCAACAAAGGCCCGTATAGTTAAAGGTATGGTTTTCCCAGTAGTGATGTATGGAAGTGAGAGCTGGACCATAAAGAAGGCTGATCGCCGAAGAATTGATGCTTTTGAATTATGGTGCTGGAGGAGACTCTTGAGAGTCCCATGGACTGCAAGAAGAACAAACCTATCCATTCTGAAGGAAATCAGCCCTGAGTGCTCACTGGAAGGGCAGATTGTGAAGCTGAGGCTCCAATACTTTGGCCACCTCATGAGAAGAGAAGACTCCCTGGAAAAGACCCTGATGTTGGGAAAGATGGAGGGCACAAGGAGAAGGGGACGGCAGAGGATGAGATGGCTGGACAGTGTTCTCGAAGCTACCAGCATGAGTTTGGACCAAACTGCGGGAGGCAGTGGAAGACAGGAGGGCCTGGCGTGCTCTGGTCCATGGGGTCACAAAGAGTCGGACACGACTAAACGACTAAAGAACAACAACAACACTGCCTGCTGTGCCAGTTTTCAACTTGCAGGGAGAGTATTTTGATTTTAATTCAGGAATGCATTCCTCTGAAGAAGCATCCTCCATTGTACCACTTCAGAACTCTATGATCTCATTCTGATCTGTTGTCTATCTGCACTGGGTTGGAAGCTGACCTGCAGCATCCAGGCTACAGAGTGGGCTAAGTTTGGCCAGACTGGAACTGTCTCCATAGACACAGAACTACAGTAAATATTTCAGAAAGTCTCCAGCCCCCGCCCCCCCTCTCCAGAAAATCTTATTTAACTGCTTCAACCAGTTTGTTCAAGATATCTTGGGGAATTGAAGGGATAAAGTCCAAAGTCTATTGGTGGCACTCTTCCCAATTCAAAACATATGGGGGTAAAAAGCTAAGACACACCACATCAGCAACATAAATAAAGCTAAGGCAGGGGTCAGTAGAGTGTCCCATTTATTAAACAGTAAATTTAATATGTATTATTTAGAGAACAAGCCCTCCTCCGCGGTTTCTGAAAACGCATGAAGCATAGCTGGATGGTGACACTTTCTGTATTAGCTTAGGTTCTCTTGGGAATGGGATGGCAGGTTTCTCATGGCATTTTCATGGGATTGTAGAGTTGAAAGTGGGGTCAAAAGGGCTTCCCAGACAACTGAAGGGGCAGCACACAAACATTTCATTTGCCCACAGGCCTAATGCCAGTCCATTTCCATTTCAAGAGGTGCAATTTATTGGTGAAAGCTAAATGGAACTAGTCTTTTCATTGATTTTCTTTTTAAACATTTGGAGCAAAAAATGTGCTCTCTTGCACTGGGAAGGAAGAGTGCAGAATTTCCATAAACTGGATGAGGATGGAGGAAGGGGACAGGAAAAAATAATTTCAAAGTTTTCTTGAAATTGCACAGCTTTGCATCTGGGGAAGCAGCCATGTTTAGTTCCCCCAATTCCTGAGTACAACCAATTTAACACCGTTCCAGGGCATTGTGAGGAATGACAATTGGTGGCTTCCCAACTGCCCATCAGCACTGGAGCTGGCCCTGAGTTTTAGTCAGGCTTACCCTCTGCTTTGCTAGCTTATTACAGTGTTGTTGCTTTTTAATGTAGGGCTGAACTGCATACTGACATACTTCCTTCCAGGGGGAAAGATGTAGCTTCTTGATAAGCAGTATGTTTTGAAAAAGGAAATTATTGAACATTCAAGCTGAGGAGAAAACGAACAAGCAGATGTGCATAGGCTGGCATGATTATGGGGCAGAAGGGGGTTGCCATCAGTGTTCCCACCAGCTTGCATGATGAGTTGGATGGTGACGGGGCCTTCTTAGTGATGGCCCTCAACTTCTGGAACTCCATCCCAAGGAGTCTCGATTGACCCTCACTTTAGAAATCTTAATCCATGAGCTAAAGACAATTTTATTTGCCCTTCAATCTCAGAAGGAGCTCATTCCCAGAGTAGTAGGTGGTTGTTACTGCTAATATGTGTAAGATTGAGTGTCACTTATTAGTTTTAAGTATATTAAAAATGTTTGTTTTACATAGTTTTATATTAGCTACCTTGAGTTCCTGTCTGGAGGATGGGTGGGAAAGAAAAATGAGGGATGACTGCATGAACAAATCAATAAATGGCATCTATTAATGTGGAACCACATTCCACGCAGAACTGAGAACTGCGATTGATGGACCGCATGATGGGTCAGATTAGCACTTCAAAGTATCGTTCAAACTGGCTCAAGTCGATTCTCCAGCATGATCTCAGGGTTCCTGAGCTACCAGGGTGGCCTGGAAAGAAGCTCAACTGTTCTCACCACTGCTAAGGAACAAGGGCTTAAGGAATGGTAATTTATGGTTTGTTCTAATCTAGCAGTAAAAGCTGAGCAGTGAACCTGGTTTCTCTGTGGCTGGGAGAATGCCCCCAGATTCCTTCGTAAAGACATGATTGTGAGCTTTAAAAACAGCCATAGGTTTCCACTCTTTAGTCTCTAGGAGTGGGGGAGAATTTCGATTCAGTTTACATTTAAAAGCAGACCTGCACAGCTCACGCTTTCGGAAACAATGCACGAACCAAAACACAGCTATTGTTTGAAACCTGCACTTTTCCAAATTTTGCAATGCAATTCTCCAGCCAAGTATAGTGTCCAAAGTTGCATATTCTGGGGTAAAGTTTGCACAGAAACAAGTGAAAGTAATGCATTATATGAGGGAAACTGCTTTGCAAAAATGTGTACATTTTTGAACACATTTTTGCTTGTATACATAAGCAGAGCCCGGTTGGAATATTCCAGTGATCCATCTAGTTCAGCATCCTGTTCTTAGAGACCCATAAGAAACTTCGTTGGACTGGTCATGTTGTGCGGATGCCTGATTATCGTCTTCCAAAGCAACTACTCTATTCCGAATGTAAAAATGGAAAGCATAATGCTGGTGGTCAACAAAAGAGGTTCAAAGACTCAAGGCAAATCTAAAAAATGTAGTATAAATGCCAACAACTGGAAAACACTGGCCTATGGGCGCCCCAGTTGGAGAACAGCCTTTACCAAAGGTGTCATGGGCTTTGAAGAAGCTAAATCTCAGAATGAAAGGGAGAAACGTGCTAAGAGGAAGGCACACTTGGCGAACCCTCACCATGATCAACTCCTGCCCGGAAACCTTTGTCCCCACTGTGGAAGGATGTGTGGATCCAGAACTGGCCTCCACAGTCACTTATAGACCCACTGTTAAAACCGTGTTTATGGAAGACAACCTTACTCAGCTATGAGTGATCGCCAAAGAGAAAGAGAGAAGAAACCCGACCACAAGAGCAAACCCACCCCATTGTGGTTTCCAGCAACTAATATATACCAGCATGTATATAATAGGATACTATTGCTCTAATTTTCATTAGGGTTTCTTTTTCTTTTTAATTGAAAATTGATGTGAAAATGTAGAGAATTGAATTTAAGATTGGAAAAATGAAAAACTGAGAGTATCTGAAATGGACACATCTGCCCATCCCTAATGAGTCACTCAGTATCTTTGCTACTGACTTCCAGTTCTCTCCCAACCCTGTCTAGCTCCTGGGAAGAGATTTCAACCTGATGTTCATTTTAAAAAAATGTACACAAGAAAGAATATTCATGCAAAGGATTAGGGCTAATTCTCCTGTTCTTGATGACGCGCTCAATCTCCACGTTGTCCTCAATACCCAGTGCAAGGATATATATGAGCAAGGGCAGAACAGGCCACAGTGGGAGTGTGCAGGTGAAACCGAGAACTCAGCTTGGCTCAATGTTATTACCGTGAGGACTTGATGACTTTTCCCCTTGCTGAATTTTTCCATGGACAGAACAAGAAAGGCAAAGCTCAAAGAAACGCTTTCCTTTGAAGAGCCGAAGGAGACTGTTACTGTTTCCTTCTGTTCTTTGTGCCACAATATTTTCCTTTGGGGAGATGCACAGACGAGGAGTACTGAATTACATCCCTTGGATGCCTTTTGGGTTCTCCTGTTTTTACAGAGAGAGTGGATTCCCTGCCACCTCATCACACGCTAACAGGAGAGGGGAGAATAAACTGGGAATTTTCAAACCGATGACACATTTATGCCAGAATTGCAACGTTATAATATTATTGTATCATTTAACTTACATGTATACTTTGGAATGTTTATAACTACTGTAAATCATGGGCAAGGCCTGCCAAAAGTGTGCCATGTAACATTCCAATGCGTGACTTGTAAAATAAATACAACAGTTGCAGAGGAACAACATTCCCCAAAGCAAAACAGAAAATCTAAGTGCTTTGGATGCAGGAAAATGTCTTTAGTGAGGGCTTAAATAATTCCTGCGCATATTTAAATGGATTTCCACCATAGCTGCTGCCACCGTCATTACTGGCCCCCTTCATCATTGCCATCTTTGCTCCGCCTTCTCCTTTGAAGAATATTGTAGCGACTTACAGTCTTCCCTACAGAAATCAGGAATGTGCCATAATCCCCAAAGCCTGAGTCTTGATCGAATTCCACATCTCCAAGCTTTCTCGCACTCTCTTTCTCTCTTCAGTGTGGTGTAGTGGTTAAGAGCGGTAGTCTCGTAATGTGGGGAACCGGGTTCACGTCTCCGCTCCTCCACATGCAGCTGCTGGGTGACCTTGGGCTAGTCACACTTCTCTGAAGTCTCTCAGCTCCACTCACCTCACAGAGTGTTTGTTGTGGGGGAGGAAGGGAAAGGAGAATGTTAGCCGCTTTGAGACTCCTTAAAGGGAGTGAAAGGCGGGGTATCAAATCCAAACTCCTCTTCTTCTTCTTCTTCTTCTTCTTCTTCTTCTTCTTCTTCTTCTTCTTCATTACTGAAGGTGAGCTGCTCAGGGACACTCTCTTCTCTGCTCCTCATAAAATGCAGCAACAGTGAAACCTAAACCTTGCAGGTCAACTGCAGTAAGTCTACATTAAGTCAAAACTATGCAGTTAGCAAATCTTGACTGGGGAAAAATGGTTTCATCTCATTATGGAATTTGGACCTTATCAGGGAGGGTTAGGGACGCGGGTGGCACTGTGGGTTAAACCACAGAGCCTAGGACTTGCTGATCAGAAGGTCGCCAGTTTGAATCCCCACGACAGGGTGAGCTGTCGTTGTTCGGTCCCAGCTCCTTCCAACCTAGCAGTTCGAAAGCACGTCAAAGTGCAAGTAGATAAATAGGTACCACTCTGGCGTGAAGGTAAACGACGTTTCCGTGTGCTGCTCTGGTTTGCCAGAAGCGGCTTAGTCATGCTGGCCACATGACCCGGAAGCTGTACGCCAGCTCCCTTGGCCAGTAAATCGAGATGAGCGCCACAACCCCAGAGTCGGCCACGACTGGACCTAATGGTCAGGGGTCCCTTTAC